ATAAAGTATATTAGTAATATTTTAAAATTTGTAAAAAAATTGATATTTCTATTATTACATTATTTAATGATATCTTTAAATAAATTTAGTTTAATGATGATTTATGAATTATTACAATCTTTTTAAAAGTTAACAAAAATTAAAATTAATATTAAATATAGTTATCCAGCTCACATTTAAGCATGAACTATGTGATGATTCTAGTATGTCATATTACTTCTTTTTTTAAGTAAAAATGATTGTAAAGATAACATATATGAAATCACTTCATAAATAATATCTAAAAGATTTTTCTGTATATATATATATATATATATATATATATATATATATATATATATATATCTTTTTTTTTTTTGAAAAAGCTTTCATGAATTCTCCATGTTACTCGTGTCATTTTAACAAATCATTGAAAACAACCCATGTTATTTTTAAGAAAGATTATACGGACAATTTCATTAATTGTTATATGACAATCATACCAAAAGAGTTTCAAGTGACTTAGGGGGTGTTAGTGAGACTTAGATTTCCATAGAGTTTGTTGATTTTAAGAATTGAAAGATTTGTTAAATTTGGATAGAGTTGTAGAGAATTTTCTTCATTGTGAAAATCTATGAAATTAAAGTATTATATTGATTTTAAGAATCCAAGTGATATATGAAGTATTTTCAAAATCTTGTTTTGTGAGTTAAAATGTTAAGAATATAACTCCCGATAACACTTACTTTAATAGATTTGTAGAATAATTAAAATCTAAACTTTTTGAATAACAAGGGATTTTGTATAGAATTATAAAATCATCAAACCAATAACACTAAACTTTAATTAGAATCTAAGAATCAATAAATCAATAACACAATACTTAAAAATTCTAAGAATCCTTATAAATTCAACTCCCACTAACACCCCCTTAACATTTCATTTTGTTGTGTGCACTTGATTAACCAATTTGATGTCGTCTAGGTTGTCCACAGTTTATGACTTATGAGATCTGATCTTATATGATTAAATTAAAAACATTGTAAATTTCAAAAAAAAAAAGTATAAGCGTAAATGCTACACGGAGAAACTAAAAGATGTCATTTATTTACACAAAATTTCTTTAACACAACACTACAAACTTGAAATCTGAAACGGGCTAAATCCCAGAACAATTTTTTGTCCGGGCTGAACTCAAAATATCATAGTGCTGTCTAATACGTGGCTACTTAGGCCCAAAATGTTTCTTGCAGATCTCGGGAAAAAGTGTGAAACATTATATAATTTCCCCTCTCTTTCTCTCGTCATATTTTTTCATTGTTAATACCTGACTGACTGAATTTAGATCGTCAAAGTTGGTTTAACCGAAATCTTTACATACAGAGTAGGAATCGTCACGTTAGATTGAACCGATAATAAGTTTGGATTACTCGTTTGTTTCTTCTACTAAGTTTGGAGTACTAGATTTCGATTTTCTTAAAAAAAGTTGAGCTGCAATTGTTAAAAGGGAAATATATTCCCTGTATATTTGAAAGAATGATGTTTAAAGTTTCTCACATATATTAAAAACAACAAATACACTGTTTTAAATTTATCAATAAAGTTCCATTATTCATAATTGTACTTTTTTTTTGGACAAATTGTACTTTTTATTTATGTTTTAATTTTAAAAATTAAAATATAATCCATATATATTTAGAAGAATGATGTTTAAGGTTTCTCACATATATTAAAAACAATAAACACACGATTTTAATTATTATATTTTAATTTTATCAATAAAATTCCATTATTCATAATCGTACTTTTTATTTTATGTTTTAATTTTTAAAACAAATGCATTGACTATATTCCAAAACATCAATTTTTTGTACACAAGATAAAAATTTAGAACATCATACATTTTGTATATGGAGAGAGTATTATTCAAGTATGGCTGATTTTAGCTCCACAAAGATACGTTCTTCTCGAACTCACTCTCTCATCTAATGGAATCGAAAGAAGTTAGAGGTGGTATATGTTCAGTGTACACTTTATTAAGTAGAGTGATTATTCCGACAACACTGGGAATGATTAGTTGTAATATCACTGATTACATATATTTGCAAGGTGAGTCACCTGATTTATGAATGTTCCAAAGCTAGTAGCTATACTGGCTTTTAGCCTAGTATTTTATACTACTCCAACGAAAAAAAATGATTGATCCACATTAATATTGAATATAAAGAAAGTTTCAAAGAATTCATAATCAAAACCATATCAAGTCATGTCATAGGTAATCCTCCATACACGTGGTATCAACAGAAGTAATGTTACAATATTTTAATTTAGCCAACGGATTTTATTAGTAATAATCCTTGATCACCAAGGTCATGTTGGGCCACCCAAACCACGGCTTGATAATGTTAATGTTATGACAAAATCGTAAGGAACTAAACACTGTTCTGCTTTTACTGATTTTTTTTTTCTTAATCACCAAACCTTTCACCAGCAATCTCTTTCATTTTTTTGAGTCAAACCACTAATCGCTCTAGGTCCCATAATGTCTTTTTTTTTATTAAATAGGGTTTTATTTAATTAAATAAAAGGTTTAGAAACAAACAAACAAAAACCAATACAATCAGAAGCGAGATTGTGAAAAAAAACTTTGCACAGATTACACTAGTTAAAGAAGATAAGAAGTCAATAGTAATTAAAGACAAATAATTACGTGAGAAATTATAGTCAAGACTAAACATGGAGAAAGAGAGAGATAGCAATTATAAAAATTGATTAAAAGTTTGTAAAATGTTAGTTGATGTTAATATATCACTGATGCATCAATTAATATATACTTACAAATACTCCCACATTACTTGTAACTGGAAAAAAATTATTCACTCTAAAAATTAAATGTTAAAAAAAAAAGATTTTTTCTATATACAAGAATAAAATATCAGTTGCATATAAAATTCTAATAAAACATTATAGTAGCTAATTATATAAATAATCAAACCAACCTTCTAAACCTAATTATTAGAAGTGCCCGCCGTACTCTTACTCCTATTTTCTATGTTTTGTGTTGCCTGCCTGTAAACAAAAGTTGACATATTAGAAGCCAACACATGGCTAGTCTTCTTCTTCATCCCCAGTGGACATGCACATCGATATTTCATCCTTTCTTCTTTACAACTTTCTCACATGGATCTTCCACAATATACACCATTTTTGTTTGAGAAGCCAAGACATACGGCGACAGTTCTTAGAGGTGTTTCCCGTTATCTTCCCTCTAAATCACATAGACTGTGCATGCCAACCTTGGAAGAGCTTGAGAGATCGCACTGTAACTAGAGGCTGCCGGAAGCCATAAGAGCTAGGCAGATGGGATATTGTAGATATACGATCAATACAATAAATTAACATGTATTTTGTATTGTACTATACAAATATTTTCAGTATCTTCTATCCGATGTGTTTAGCAGTATAATTATTTAGAGTTCTATTCACACTTAAAGAACTTTAAATATCATAAAATAATAACTCAAATTACGGCTCTACCTCACCGATCGTGTCAACTTTAATTATTTAAAACGAGTTAAACATTTTCCTCGTGGGGCTTCAAACAAACGGGTTGAGTGTGATTTTAGCTTCAGATTAAAATACATAATTGTCCAAAATAAATCTACCACTCAACTCTTTACACTCATGTGATTTTTGGTATTTTTAAATTAATGAGACTATAAGAACTGGTTATTATCTGACATCTAAGCTTTCTATGATATGATTCTTATATGCCATAGATTTGTTACTCCCACATTATATTCTTTCCACAGATTCATTTTATTTCTTTGGAGTGCTAGATAACTCCACGGTTATAACCTCCGTTCTAAAAATTGGCCGTTAGACGCTAGGTAACCCTCTTCCGTCCCGATTTATGCCAAATCACCGTAGAAAATTGGTGGTCCGATTTTAACCCGCCTAGACTGTCTAAATAACTGCATAGCCGTCTAGGCGGCCGCCGAATCGGTTTTTTTTTTAATAATATGTTTTATCTATTTATTTGTTTTAAAATTTAATAAATTATAATTTTGATGAAATTATATCATATTAACTTTGTATATTCTATTTGTGTGTGTTTATAAGATTCTAAACATGAAAATGTATTAATGTTACACATAATTAAAGATTAATATATCTTATAACATAATAAATAGTTTAAAAATTCTGTCTCGTATAATTCATGTTTAATCTCTGATTTTCTCTTTAGGTACCAGGTCTAATCGAACCGCACAACTAACACGTAGGCGGCTAGGCGGCCGATTTTTAGAACAGAGATTATAACGTTTCCTTTGTTAAAGATACTTCAGAATTATTCCGTGACAACATATGTGTTCACACATAACGGAAAACATGTTTTGTCCTGCATTCAATTCAAAGGACAGTAAAGACTAAAGAGTCTTTTGGGGCCAATTAGATTAGATTTAAAGTAAACTTATCGAAAAAGTTGACAATCATCCCAATTATTGGCCATAGTTATATTACAGACACACATTAACATGATGTCTACCTGTATTTGAAATTTGAAATAACCTATCTGCTTTCCATTTATGTTGATTGTGAATTTGTACAGGTTATTTTAGGTTCTTAACAAATTTATTGAAGATGAATCTAGTATTTTCAATCATTTAATAAAGAAGTGTGCTAGGAATTGTACTGCTACTTATAGTTGTACTACAAACTCCATATGATATGGCTAATGCGTATTGTGTGAGTGAAAGGTTTTTCTATTTTTATATTGGTCAGAAGGAACCAAATTTAAGATCTTTGAATTGAACGGTCGAGATCGTATGTTATTTCAGGAGATTAAGATCCTTCATATCACACGCACGTGCCTAAAAGCAGTACATTCTCTCTCTGTCAGACCCTTTTGTCTATAAAATCCTCGGCCCACACTAGATTGGAGACAGTACACTCAATCAAAAGAAAAAAAACAAAACCTTCCATTTCAAGAAAGCATCGTTTTTAGTTGTGTGTGTCCGAAAATGGAAGATCTTGACGATGAGTACAAGAATTATTGGGAAACCACAATGTTCTTCCAAAATCAAGAACTTGAATTTGACAGGTACTTTAAGAATCTGTCTTTTCTGTTTTTTTTCTTTTGTTTTTAGTGGTTATTGATTAATGAAATTGTTTAAGTTATAACTTTAGTTGGCCGTTGGAAGAAGCGTTTTCTGGTTCCGGCGAGTCGAGTTCGCCGGACGGAGCAGCAACGTCGCCGGTGACTTCAAAGAACGTTGCCTCTGAGAGGAAGAGACGGGAAAAGCTTAACCAGAGACTGTTTGCTCTCCGATCTGTCGTTCCCAATATAAGCAAGGTGTGTGATTAGTACTTCCACTAATTAATGGTTTCTCTAATTAATTTAATCAACTGTCTCTTTTATTTTATTTTATTTTATTTTATTCTTTCTAACCAATTAATTCAACAAAATAAAATTCGTCACCAGCAAAGATTTTCTGGGTCAACAGAAAATAAATAACTGATTCTTTCTTTTCAAGGAAATAAAACTAGTATAGATATATTCAATATAGTTTAACCAAATCCAACCAACCATTAAAATAAAAATGGCAAAAGCAATTCCGAGCCTCTAAAACCACATGTCAAACCAAAGTAAATTATATTTTGGTCATGTAATTACCCTAATCATTTATAATTCTATAATGGTTTATTATATATAGTTGGACAAGGCATCTATCATCAGAGATTCAATAAAGTATATGAAAGAACTCATTGATCAAGAGAAGAAGCTAGAAGCAGAGATCAGAGAGCTGGAATCACGATCAATGTTGCTAGACAATCCTTCAAAAGATTACGATTGCATCAATAATTTCCCGGGAAATCAGCAGCAAGATCTCTCAGGCATTAATGCCATGAGATCAAAGAAGTCCAGGCAGATGGACAACAATATTTTTGGATCATCAATCAATAGAGTACATAATCACTCCCTCATCGAAGTTCTCGAGGTAAGTACTATTATATGCATCTTTTTTACTTGGTTTTGTTTGAAGGTTTTAAAAATAGTAAAGTAACTTCCAAATTTATATAAAAATGAAAAGATGACGGTGACATGTATGGGAGAGAAGACAGTGGTGGTATGCATAACATGTAGCAAGAAGAGAGAGACAATGTTGCAGCTTTGTAAAGTGTTGGAGTCTTTGAATCTCAACATTCTCACTACCAACTTCTCTTCCTTCTCATCTCGTCTCTCTACCACTTTATTCCTCCAGGTCTCACCTCTCTCTTTATTTTTCTTACAACTTTTTATCTCCTTTAACACTCTATATTTTATATGATTTTGGTGAAATTACTACATTTATGTATTGTTGACTAGCACAAGTGCAGTGTAACCTTAGTCATTGTTAGGGTCAAAGTTAACTCTAAAGGGAATACATTAAAAATGACCTTGTTTGTCTCTTGACGGCACGTAGACAAAGCTCTTAGGTGGACATCAATCAATCAATAATGTGAATATAAAACATATGACTAAACATTGGTTGTTCTTATTCATTTCACAATAGTAGAAAAAAACTAATTCTTTATATAATCTAAACTAATCTTTTGTGGAAATCACTATCAGTTCAAAAGGGTTAACCTTTAGAAGGACCCATTTGATTACTACTTTGTTCCACATGTCTCAACTAATAGACCTTAATTCACTCTAAGTAAATAAAAATTATATAACCTTAATTCACACTAGTAGAAAAAAACTAATTCTTTATATAATCTAAACTAATCTTTTGTGGAAATCACTATCAGTTCAAAAGGGTTAACCTTTAGAAGGACCCATTTGATTACTACTTTGTTCCACATGTCTCAACTAATAGACCTTAATTCACTCTAAATAAAAATTATATAATCTTGACATCATATCAATTAATTAAAGCTCCAATTATTGAGGTGGCCTCGAGCCCATCACTTATTTTTTGAATTTCGCCTTGACTTTTGTGGAGGAGGGCTGGAGGGGTTAGATTCTCTCAAAAGCTAATGTCATTAACAATTAGAATATACTTAGCCCCCTCATGTAGCATTAATGCGTAGTTAGCTAAAATGTATTGCAGAAGCTGTAAAACGTGGTTATTTATAATCTCATGCCCTTCAACATTAATTTGTTTCTTTGACTCTTTCTCGCTTTACCGTTTTAAACGTGAGTTTACCCACATTACTGTTACACTAGTATTATACTCTGGTGTATATAGGTTGGACAAAAAATGAATACAATAGTATTGTGTTGTTTTCAGCCACCTTTATGGCATTTTAGCTTTTTTTATATATAATATAATCAGACGCTAAAAATACAGTGAAAAATGGAGAGTTGGTAAGATCCTACTTCAATCGTTCTTTTCTAGAAAAAGTGGATCATTTCATTTTACAACCTCTCTTTATCTGTCGTTTTCACATCATACCAAAACAATGATTTATTTACCCTCCTTTATGTTGTCTAGACACATGCTTGTAGAATATACAACAAATTTAAAAACTAATTAAACGAGTCAACTTACATGGAGAATATTTGTCTGTGCTGAATTCGCAGGCGAATGAAGAAGAGAGGAGTACAGTAGAGACAAAGATACAAACGGCAATTGCAGCTTATAATGATCCAAATTGTTTTATCAACTTTTAATATATTTCGTTGTACCAAAACCAGTCTTTTTTATGTATTTATGAAGATGTTTTGTTGTAAGATGGTACTATTGAACGAGTATTTTTTTTAATTATTGTAAGAGTTTATTTGAACTTCCAAACACCTGATGTGTATTGTTTAAATTAGTTGGCAATCCAAACTAAAAACTTAGATCAAACACACTAGAAACGATTAGAAAACATATATAAATTATTACAGATTTTATGAGTGTATCTTCTTGAATAATGAACAAGAAGTTAAATACATATTAATGTAAGTACTTCATAAAGATGTTTTACCAATTGTTTCTGTTAGATCAGTGAAGTCATGCAAACATATGTTCCATAACTCATGAGAAGTGACAGTAGGAGCTAAACTATTTGGTAAAGAGATTGAAAAATAGTTCGTAAGATTAAGAAATGTGTGATATTAAAAATTCTATAAGAAAAAAAAAACCCCAGTTTCTTTTTTTTTCTTGGGATTTATTTAAAGTTGAGATGACACATACAAACTGAACAGAATACAAAGGCTACATGAGGAGATATTTTTAGATTTTGATTTCCCAATGAATCATACCAAAACTTGTGCAAGAGATGCTAAGTTTCTTTTTCACCTTTTCTCTTTGATCTCTGCTGTTGGTACATACATTACAGAGTCTTCTTCAGTTAAACAAGAAGAAGACTTGCCTAACTTTCTACGGCCTTTTGGTGTTCTAAATCTCTCATGCCTTTGAGTCACATCCAGTAACTTGTTTTCTGCCCTGCAAAGCAATTCCATCATTGCTTCAAATTCTTCCTCTTCAGTCATCTTGCTCTCTGTCTCCTTTGCCACAAGAGGCGTCTCTATGCTCATCTCGCTGTTTTGCTCTTCATGCGGCTGTACACACAAAAAAAACAACTAACGTCAGAAAATCTAATATTTTTCCAAAACCACTCGTCAATAACTAGAGCTAATGCTCTATAATAAACTCATTTTGGCAAAAGGGGTAATTTGAAGCATACCACTAGTGAATGTTTCTGATCAAGATATGGTTGACTTTCATCTTCTGTGGAGGTAGGAAAAGAAACATTGGCGTGTTCAGTTTCCTCCTGGCTATCATTACAGACAGAAACTGTCGTCTGTTTCTTATGATCATCACATCTTAGAGGAACAATCTCGTCCATGGTACCCTGAATTTCACTTATCTCTGTGTTAGTTTCATCTACGGTATCTTGGATATCATTTGTTTCTGTGTTTTTCTCCATGAGAGTCTCCTCCGCCGTATCTTGACTTTTATGAGTTTCTATGTTTTCCTCCATGATAGGCTCGTCCAAGTTATCTTGAGTTTCACATGTTTCTGTGTTTTCCTCCATGACAGTTTGGTCCAAGGTATCTTGATTTTCATTTGCTTCTGCTTTTTCCTCCTCGGTAATCTTGTCCACAGAGCCTTGAGTTTCATTTGTTCCTATGTTTTTCTCCATGGCAGTCTCGTCCACACTGTCTTGAATTTCATTTGTTTCTGTGTTTTTCTCCACCATGACTACTTCTGGTCCAGAATCTACAGACCCCGCATTCGACTCTTCAGGTTGTTGCATACTTTCCGTCTGTAATAAGAAAAGAATGGAACAAATGTTTGATCTCATTTGTAAGAAGTTTCTAAGTCCAGACAATGTTTCAAAGGAAACATTGTTTACCTTCCTATTCCTCAATGCCATATACCGCGAATTTTTGAACCATTTGCTGACCTGAAAAACGAATGAGCGTAAGTTCCAAGAAACATTCTTAAGGTTACATTTTTGGGTCTCAGAGTTACCTTCTCTGGGTCAAGACTCAACTCTTTGGAAAGACTATCTCTCACAGCTTTTGAAGGAAGCTCAGTCTCTACAAACACTTGACGTAGCTTCTGATACATTTATGCAAACCAACTTCGAACTTAGTCATGTGTTTTCATACACATAAGAAACTGAAACAGAAAAGTAAAAAAAACTCAGACCTCAACTGCAGCTCTTGGGAATCTAAACAACGGTCTTCTCCCAACTTTTCCTTCTACAGAGACAGAATCTCTCTCACTCTCTTCCGGCTTTTCTTTAACATTTTGATCTTTCTTACTGTTTTTACACATAGTTACAAGTGTGCTTGCTCCATCAGATTCCTTTTTTCTCTTCCTTCTGTCACTCGGACCCCAATCTTCGTCTTCACTAACTTGCTCTTGCAAAACAGCATCTTTACCAAACATTTCCTAATACCAAAACAACCATCAAACACAAACCAAAGCAAGCCAAGATTTTTAAATCCATGGACGTTGTTACTCACATGGTATAGTTTTGTATAGTCAACAGTCTTCCTCTGTCTTGGCCCGCATACAGTTTCTTCGTTACTTGTCTCCTCTGATTCCACAGTATTGCCAAATCCATGGCCTTCCCACGATCCTGTTGAAAGGGCTGCACCATCAGAAGCTAAACTCACGCTACTCGAAATGCTTTCCCCATCATCATCACCACCACCACCACCACCACTATCGCTTTTGCTACTGCTTCCTCCCACTTTATCCTTCATTTCAGGGTCATAATCACCATCCTCAGAGTCATCTGAAGGCCAATCCGCTTCTTTGTTAAGTGTAGCTTCAGAGCCAATAGGAAGACTAGCTTCTTCATTAAAGATATCCTTAACCATAAAAAAAAATGCAAAGAGTAAAGCAGAGTTCATCTAGTGAAGTATCTCTAACACACTTCTGTAATTGCCAAAAGTTTTACCTGCCAGTTGCTGTCCACAGAGAATTGAGTTCCTATCTGTGCATTCATCGTTTCGATGATTTCAATTTTGCAATCACAAAATTTGCAAAACCAGCCCTGATCTCCCGGAGGTACTGTTGAGATTACGTACCCAAAGAAGTCAGGAGTGAACAAACTCTCTTAAGACAATGTATATGTAAGAGATAGCCAAGCATACTTACTGCTTTCTGTTTCCAAAGGAGGGTCAAGACACTTCTGATGAAATGCACGATTACACGTTCCATCACAAAGTATTATATCGTTGTCCAGAAAAGCTTCTCGCGAACTGCATTCTGCACAAAATATCTGCAAAAAGGTGGAACCAATCCATATTTCAAGTATTGCTTATAGTGTAAAGATGCATGCGATGAAAGAAAACTATTACATGGTCATGATGAATAGAACCATCTGGAGCCATGACTTTCTCTTCCATGCTTCCCACCGAACTAAGAACATACAACTGATGAATGGCGTCGCGTAGTCCAAGCTTACAGTTTAAGATCTCTTTACGTGCTCTCTCGAGCTCCCTGTCTGGTCTTATCTTTTCCCGGCTGAAAGGAAACAACGGAAAATACAAGAGTCAAACCACAGTAACTGTTTGCAGCTAAATAAGATTGACATGAACGATCAGTTTGGAAACAAATAAACACATTTTCAGACACCAGTATTGAAGTCAGCAACCACACTTGATAAAACTCAATTGTAACGCAATATTAACTACTCTTTTGTTAATATATCCAACAAAATCTCAATAATCTAATACATTTCCACATAAGAAACACTGAGCAAGAAGAGAGTAAATTCAAAAAAATGTTGTAGTACCTCTGACCTTTCCAACCTTCAGCTGCGTATGCATCAATGAGATTCTGTTGCATCTTCATCTTAATAAGCAAATACCTTGTCCGTCTCTGCAACCGTAACGCTTCATCCACCTCCTCAACCTTATCACCCTTTTGCTGTCTCTTACTTTTCCTCTTCCTCGTTTTCTTACCCTTCTCCTCCTCCACCACCTCCTCGTTGCAACGAGAATACTTCCTCTTGCTGGATTTTGAACATATTTCTTCCTCGGTTTTACGCTTAGTATACTTCCTCTTATTCGATGTTTCTTTCCCTTTCTTCACAAGAGATGAGAGTAAAGTAGACTCAGCTTTCTCAACCGAAACACAAGCCTTATCTGTTTCTCTCTTGATTCTCCCCTTAGTTCGACTCTCATCCATTTCGAGCTCCACGATCACAGAGACTTGTCTTGTATCATATATAAGTCTTACCCTGAATATACAAAAACCTTAACCTTATCAGAATCTTCACTTCACAAACGAGTACGGAATCATAAACAATGGTTCTTAATATTCCTATCATTAACATCCTACAGTGACAAAGACTGAATCAACTCTTAACACATTACACTGCTAAATTCAGACAAAGTTTTTGACTTTTGATTGAAAGATTACAGCTTTCAGACAAAAGCCGACACTTTCAGACAAGATAAAGAAAACAGATCGAACATTAAACTAATCAAGAAGACAAACACTAGCTTAATTCGCATATTTATCATTATGTTTCGTGACATAATGATACTGAGCAAAGGAATCATAACTTTATTCAATTTAAATCAGAAGAAGCAAAAGATTAATACTTTCCAAGAGTTTATGACAGAATCAAGCAAACCTGGAAAAGAGTAAAAAAAGGCTTGACAATAGCAGTGAAGCAATTACAGGTTAGGGAAGGTGAAAAGCACCAGAAAGTAAGGATCTTTCTGAAAAGGGTAATGAGAGATTCTGATATATCTTTTGCTTGCTTCGGCGGTTTTAATGTCACCGGCGGCGAGTGCCTATCAACGGTCGTGTTTACGTCACTCTCCGTCGTTCTCTTTTTAGGTGCTTTGCTTTGGTAATGCGCCCAACTCTTATGTATTTTCACCTTCCAATCCCTGTATTTAGGTAGTTTGTTTCAGATTGTCCTAATGTTTTTGGTAATTTACATTTACACGCAATCTAATCTTTCCTTTTCGGGTTGTGAATATTGAAATTCACTTCCCTTTTTAGACGCGTCTTTTGATAAATAATTGGGCTTTTCAGCTCAGTCAAGAATGTTAACGGGCTGGTTCATCAATGTAAGCCCATTATGAAAAAGTTGTAAAGAAGTGAGTTCATTTATTAGGTTCTCATTTGGTCACATGGATTTGTTTATGACCAAATGAATTGGTTCTTGGATATTAGGTACATCAAACATTAGTTTATGATCTTGGAAACTTTTAGAGTTAATATATATTATATAGAATTAAAAATTATAAACAAAATCATTAAAAAAAAACATTGTTAGAATTTTAACTAAATTTTCTACAATTCCCACATTTGCAGGCGAATTGTATTTAAAATTTTGGCCGCAAGCTTAGCACATAGTTAACCATCCATAAACTAAAACTGAATTAGGATTAAATCAAATTAAATTTTAAGGTTTTACACAAACTTAGATCAGCATAGGGCCTAGCCTCTATCTAAACACTCATAATCTTCATCATATCCTAAATTTATTTTGAATTTATCAAAATTTTAAAAAATTGGCAATGATAAGAATATAAAAGTAGGCTTTATTGATATATACGTATCTTTTACATTTACATGTCTCGTGAAAGAGCAATCACCTAAAATATGAACTGACAAAATTTCCTACATTTTATTATTATTATTTATGCCACTAGGCCATTTATAATTTGGTTGCCAATTCATAAAAGATTTCTTAATAGCTGTGAAATTAATTATTAAGGAGTCCATCAAAATACAAAAGACGTACTTGAGCCATGCACCACATGGGGTGGATCCGAGATAAGAACAAAAGCAAGCCATAAAACAAACTTTGGTGTTTTTCACATTATTCACACATTGACTTTTAAAAAGTCACCGACTATTAAGCTTGTGGTGTATAACTTGTTGATTGCAAAAAAACCAATAATATAATTTATAATGGCATGCCTCATGCCTTACTCGGAAATGTCATATTAGTGACATGTGGGGCTAAATGTATTATTCTTTTGCTTTGGCATGGACGGTCACAGTCCTATTCATATGAAAGTTTTGTTGGTTTGCAAAATTATTGTAATCCCTTTTATTTGACAAAGAAAATTATTGTAACCCCTTAAAAATCTAAATGATGTGCTATAGAGACAAACCGAACAAAGATTGTCTGCTAATGTACTATTTTCACAGCTATAATTATCTCGATTACTGCCTTTTTAAGGTTGTGTGATGCTTAGAGATGTTAGCCCTGTTCTTTTGTCAACCTGCTGCGGCAGCGTCAGCGGCAACAAAAACAAAGAGCAAAACGGAAATGACGGTGTTATCAAGTGACATTAGTTTAAGACGCAACAGATAATATTACACACGGAGGATGACGCTGAAAATATTGGCGTCATGAGAGACGGCTTGGAGAACACTTGCGATCGTTTCCTGCGTCTGTTTCTATTACCCCCATGCTTATTTTCTTCTCCGTTAAAGTTATTTTGTTGCCGCTGCCGCAGTGGGTTGACAAAAGAACAGGGCTGTTGTGACATATTCGACGGCCTAGTCTACTATAAGTTTGATACAATTGGTTTAATATGATACGGTTTAGTAAGTTTTTGTTTGGTCCTTTGGTTATATTATTTGTAACTTATCAAACAATTATAAAGATGTTAAACTTGGACCCTACTAGTCCTGTGAGCCAAATTAATTTTCAACCGTTAAATAAGTCTTAAATTTATATTGCTTCGATTAGTTACAAGTAATAAACATATCTTAAATTATACACAATTATGAGTACATGGGGCTAATTAGGAAGTTGTAGTTAGTCAGTTGCTTTCACCTAATTGTTCGAGAAGAGATTAATATATAATCATAATGTGTCTTAAATTATAGTTGTCATATTTAATTTGTAATAGAATAAAGTTTCTATGATTGCAATTGCTCATATACATATATTTAGAGTTATAAGTTTTAAATAACCTATCATCTTTTTAAACAAACCAAATAATTAATTAAATACATAAAGATGAACATTCTACTAGAGGTGATGCACACTCTGTTGTCTTTCTCTATCTTATATATGAAGGTGATGCAGACGTATCCACGTGTAGGATTTTATGTGGACTAAAAATTAAGATCGACGCTGAAATCAACAAACAGTATATAATAACACTTTTAAAATATACGATAATATAAACTAATATTATTTTACAAAGGAAAATTAATATGAGGACCGACTCTACCAACAACTCTCTCTGGCTCTTTTTAGATGCATCTGTGGAATTACACCCAATCATTCAAGCATTGCCTCAAAGGATAATATGACTTTTCGCATCCACTAAAACTTATTTATTCTCTCAAAACTAAATATTCTAAAAGGAAATGATAGGTAAGTACTATTTTGGGTGCGTGGTCATGTTTTATTGTTTTCTACGATTGAATGTGAGTTATTGAAGAAGACTAATTACTCAAAGGTCCACAAATATTTGGTGATCCACGAGTTTTATAGACTTATGTTGGATCGAGTTTTGTAAAAAGATTTTAAGTAAAATTCGATTGGACTCAGTATTATGATTTTTTTTCTTTCGGTTGTTACAAAAGAGATTAAACGATTGTTTATGTCCTCTGCGATTAAACTCAATTCATTATTATGCTTTGTGCAAAAACTAGTAATTCGATAAATCAAATGAGTTGATGATGTTTTGTGTTTTAATTTCACCAACGAGAAGTGCCTGATAGCATGTTTTAAATTTAACTAGTGTTATAATGTGTTTTAACTTTAAATGACATGCAACATGAAACTTTCACAGTCCTAGAGTACGAACTACGAAATTACGTGCAATCCATTCATGTGATTTGGTTAGCATACATTACAAAATAAATTTACATGAATACAACCTAGTCTTTGTTTCTCTTAAGACCCTACACATAAAAATGTACGTTCCAAGTCTATCTACATTGACACGCAAAGGAGACGTGTCGTGGGGGCTTACTTGGATATGACTTTCTTTTTTGCAAATTGTAATAATCCCGTGGCTAGCGCCGCCACATATGAAATTCGAGGAATATGCCTTTTTCTCACATACATTGTTTTGGATTCTGGTTGTTAAACAAAGCTAATGAATCTTTAGTCTACAATGCAAAGCCATGCAAATCCATCTTTCATTTTGTGTCCTCTGTCAATGTAATTAGTTTCATCGAAAAAATATTATTAGACTTATTTGTAATCTGTAGATTGTATCAAAAATAACAATTATTCATTATATTTACTGGTTTTAGGTAGATCATACTACTATTATATTATATATCTACATACTGTATGATTTTTTTTTTTTGAATTTGGTATTAATCTACTACGATGAACATATTAAATCGTTATAGTTTTTTTTTCCTCAGATCCAGAGTTGTTTAGATATTGTAGTTGGAAAATCTAGAATCATAAACAACAATTTTTTGTAGATAGATCTTTTATTAGATTCAGAAGTTCAAACGCAAAAACCAAAATGAAAATGGTAAGTCGTCTAACTCAAAACCGATATGAAAAAGTTAACTCGTCAACATATCGACTGTTGAATATGGAAAGAACGAAATATTCCGAAGATAATAATGAGTCGTTCATTACAATCACTGAAAACCGTATTACGTACAAGTAAACAAACCGTAATCTACCTATAGTAGAACTTTCTCCGTTTACAAAAAAAAATGTTTTTGAATTTTCCCACATAAAAATATGTTAAATTTTTATTAGATTGCTTTTACTCTTTTCATAATTTTTACCCATTCAAAATTCAATGAACATAATGTTAAAAGGTTTACAATATATTATTATTTTCTAGTAAAAAATACATTAAAATATAAAAATGTTTTTTTTAATCTATTATATTAAAAGAGAAGTCATGACTCACTTCATGTGTAATTTTTTGGTTTGGACAATCCTTATTAAAAAATTTATAAATTTTTACATACCATCATTATAATATCTTTTCATATCTTTAATTTTTATTTGAAATAACAAATAAATAGTTTTAAGAAAATTCTAACAAAATCTTTTAGAATATTTTCAAGATATAATTTCAAAAAAAATTTGATTAAAGTTTTATTTATCATAAACATATAATTAAAATTTTAGTTGATTTTTTATTTATAAAAAAAAATAAACTTATCTAAAATATTTTTAACAATAACCCAAATTTTTGTTTATGTATTATGTAGATCCAACTTAATTTACTTTTTACAGATATTTCAAATTTAGAAATAAAACAAAATATATAAGTTAGTAATGTTACATAATAATGTTTTTAAATTTTTTTACAAAAATACAAATTTATAAAATTTTATATTAATAATATTATAAGCCACATAAATATTATTATAAAATTGGATAGTATACATAATCAAATTATATTTATTTATTGGTAAATTTTACTCCCTTGGTTTCTTAATATAAGATGTTTTGGATCATTGCAAAACATCTTATATTTTTTAAAAAAATAAATCTTTTAAAATATCATTTGAAACAGAATGAATATTATATAATTTTAAATATTTTTGTATTAAAATACCCGCACGTTTGTGCGGGTCGAGATCTAGTTTTCTGTTTAAAACATGAAGCATTTTAAAACCGAGTAATTAATAATTTTCTTTGAAACAGTCATTCATTTTTCATCGTATAATAAGAAAACAAAATCAAATAGAATAATAAGTCAAGTAACAAATAATTTTTAGAAAACAAAATAAAATAGAGAGTATTTGAGCTGGTGCTTGTTCATCATCTTCAAACACTTTGCTCCGACAGGTCACCTTTTTTAGTTTTGCTTTTCCTCACGAAAACAAACAAACTTCCTATTCTCTTCTTTCTCTTTATTCATTCTTTCACAAAATCAAATGAAGAACCTGCTCTGAGCTCAATTATTAAAAAAGAAAAGAAAAGAGAAGAGAATCAATTCTCTCTCTCTCCTATCTTATTGTGTTTCGATCTAATCGGAATCGCTTTATATTCCTCCAAGAATAAATATTATCTTTGTAAATTTCAATTTTGCGAAACACGAAGAATTAGCCTATGGTTCTGTCGGAGATCCAGCCATCTATGCCGGAACCTGATATTCGTTTCGCCAACCTGAGAGGCGTACGGTGGCGCGTGAATCTCGGTGTTCTCCCCTTTCAAGCTTCTTCCATCGATGATCTTCGCAAAGCGACCGCTGAATCTCGCAGAAGGTTTAGTTTTATTACAGAACAATCTTGTCTGTTTGCTAAAAGTTTCCTCTTTTTTACTGATTGAGTTTGATTGTTTTCAGATATGCGTCTTTAAGGAGAAGACTCTTGATAGATCCACATTTGTCTAAAGATCTACGAAACTCTCCTGATCTCTCCATCGACAATCCCTTATCTCAAAACCCAGGTAATAAAAAAAAAAATATTTAATTACATGTTTCTATGTTCATTGTGTTTTGAAGCTTTGGTTTTTATGTTTAATTACATGTTTCTATGTTCATTGTCTTTTGAAGCTTTGTTCTTTACATGGAATCGTTTTCTGTAATTGTAGATAGTACATGGGGTAGGTTCTTCCGCAACGCTGAGCTAGAGAAAACATTGGATCAAGACTTATCAAGGCTTTATCCAGAGCATTGGAGGTATTTTCAAGCTCCTGGATGTCAAGGGATGTTAAGACGTATCTTACTCTTGTGGTGTCTTAAACATCCCGAGTATGGTTATCGACAAGGTAGAAACATCATAGCTTGTGTGTTTTAAAAAAAAATGTGAACTTTGTTACTAAAGACCTCTATACTTTACTTTGTAGGAATGCATGAGCTTTTGGCTCCTCTGCTTTATGTACTTCATGTTGATGTTGAGCGTCTCTCTGAAGTGCGTAAAAGCTATGAAGATCACTTCACCGACAAGTTCGATGGCTTATCTTTCGAGGAACGAGACATTACTTACAACTTCGATTTCAAGAAGCTTCTTGAGGATTTCACCGACGATGAGGTTGGTGGAATTCACGGGAGTTCGAAGAAGATAGTGAGCTTAGACGAGCTTGATCCTGAAATCAAGTCCATTGTGATGCTAAGCGATGCTTACGGAGCAGAAGGAGAGCTAGGGATTGTCTTGTCGGATAAGTTCATGGAGCATGATGCTTACTGTATGTTTGATGCTCTCATGAGTGGATCTAACGGTTCTGTCTCAATGGCTGGATTTTTCGCTTACTCTCCAGCTACCGGTTCCCACACTGGTTTACCTCCGGTTCTTGAGGCCTGCACTGCGTTTTACAATCTTTTATCGTTTGTTGATTCGTCTCTGCATAGCCATTTGGTTGAACTCGGAGTTGAGCCTCAGTACTTTGGTCTTCGTTGGTTACGTGTTTTGTTTGGAAGAGAGTTTTTGCTTCAGGATCTGTTGGTAGTGTGGGATGAGATCTTCTCAGCTGATAATACTGCGAGAACTGATAATGGCACAAGCCATAGCTTCATGATCTTTGATTCTCCTCGTGGAGCTTTAATCTCTGGAATGGCTGTTTCGATGATACTTTGTTTGAGATCTTCTTTGCTCGCTACTGAAAACGCAGCGTCTTGTCTCCAGAGACTACTCAATCTCCCGGAGAAGATTGATGTGAGGAAGGTAATAGAGAAGGCTAAGTCATTACAAGCATTGGCTATGGATGAGGATGTAAGATCATCAGCTTTATCTGTGAACAACGTCTTTGATCAGAGCATGAGTCCTGCTATACCGGCGAGGACTAATAGCTTTCCTTCGGGATCCACTTCTCCTAAATCTCCATTGATCATTACACCACAGAGTTACTGGGAGGAGAAATGGAGAGTTCTTACCGCCGAGGAAGAGAAAAAGAGTCCTTCAACGCCACCACCGAAGAAAAAGGCATCATGGTTCAAGGTGAAGAGGCTTTTCAGAACAGAGTCTGAGCCTACGCATAGCGCAAAGATAGAAAGCAAAGCTGGTTTAGCATCAGTGGCGCGAAACTTGCTGGAAGATTTTAATCGGGAGGTTGTTTCTGAACCTGAGGAAGCTAATGCAGTAGTTGTTGTGAACAATGAAGATAGCTCAGCAGCTAATAGAGTGAACAATGAAGATGGTTCAGTTCAAGAAACCGAGGAAGCTAATAGAGAAGATGTTATGAACAATGAAGATAGTTCAGTTCAAGAAACCGAGGAAGCTGATAGAGAACATGTTGTGAACAATGAAGATGGTTCAGTTCAAGAAACCGAGGAAAGAAATGTGGATTTTACATCTGCTGGTGAAGAGAGTATAGCAGCAGTTGAGGAGACTTCATCTGATGTCTTCTCAGATCCAAACAGTCCACTCAGACATTCAAACTCCATAGAGAATGATTCAGATAGCAGCACCGGGTCGATTCTGTTTGCCAATGAAAAAGTTGAAGATCAAGAAACAAGCGCAGTAGACTCACCTCTTCCCGTTTCCTCTCAACCGAGCATTGAGTTTCCTGTAGCTCAGTGTAATGACGAAGAGGACACAGCAGATAAATCTGTGGCCGTGAGTAAGGAGCGTAACAAGGCTTTACCAGGAAAGTTCCAGTGGTTTTGGAAGTTTGGACGCAATCTCACTGGCGAGGAGACAAGATCCAATGATGTTGAAAGTAGTAAAAGTGGTTTGGTTAGCTCTTCTGAGTCGCATTCTTCTCCACAGGCTTCATCTTCGAGCAGCAAAGGAGAGGCGGATCAGAATGTGATGAATACTCTAAAGAACCTTGGCAATTCCATGCTCGAACACATTCAGGTACAGACTCAGGCGCGCTCTTAAGTCAATTTCTTAGAATAAGAACAACAAATGAAATTCGGGTTTTTTATTTATCATATGTTTCAAGGTGATGGAGTCTGTTTTCCAGCAAGAACGAGGTCAGGTTCAGGCAGGATTAATGGAGAACATATCAAAGGCTAACTTGGTCGAAAAGGGACAAGTCACAGCCACGACAGCTCTCAAGGAGCTTCGGAAGATCAGTAATCTTTTGATGGAAATGCGATGAACTATTTTTGTTGATTCTTCTTGTTCTACTCTCTGTGTATATATAAATACATCCTATTTTTTGTAAAGTAATTTTAGAGCACGTAATAAATAAAATAACGGCTTATTAGCTTTTCTGTTTTGATATAAATAAAAGACGTCCAGTATATTAGTTACTCTGTTTGAAACAATAAAAGGCAAAAGCATGAAAACTGCAGCAGTTCACATACATTAAAGTTGTTGAAGATTTGAGTTTTATGGTTACTATTTTCTGTACTTTCACATAAGAGAGATGAGTGGAGAAAGGAGTCGAATCTATGTTGTGGAAGCCAGGGAGAAGTGAAGTAATGAAGCCAAAAACTATCATCTGAATCTCTTTCACTATTCCCCACCACTGATTCCCTTGGGGAGCTGGATCCACATTTTCATTTGCGTTTGCTCTGTTCCCGTTATCACCTTCATTCTCTTGTTGTCCCTCTGCTGCATCTTCATCTTAATAAGCAAATACCTAGTTCGCCTCTGCAACCGTAACGTTTCATCTACCTCCTCAGCCTTATTACCCTTTTGCTGTCTCTTACTTTTCCTCTTCCTCGTTTTCTTACCCTTCTCCTCATTGCAACGAGAATACTTCCTCTTGTTAGATTTTGAACATATTTCTTCCTCGGTTTTGCGCTTAGTATACTTCCTCTTATTTGATGTTTCTTTCCCTTTCTTCACAAGAGATGAGAGTAAAGTAGACTCAGCTTTCTCAACCGAAACACAAGCCTTATCTGTTTCTCTCTTGATTCTCCCCTTAGTTCTACTCTCCTCCATTTCGAGCTCCACGATCACAGAGACTTGTATCCTCCTCTTAGAAGATCATATCATAAAAGGTCTTACCCTGAATATACAAAACCCTTTCCTTATCATAATCATCCTTTCACAAACGAGCACCGAATCATAAATACGGTTCCTAATATTCCTATCATTAACATCCCACAGTGACAAAGACTGAATCAACTCTAACACATTATTACACTGCTAAATTCAGACAGACTTTTTGACTTTTGATTAAAAGATTACAGACAAAATCCGACACTTGCAGACAAGATTACGAAAACAGATCGAATATTAAACTAATCAAGTAGACAAACACTAGCTATCTTATTCGCATCTTCATCATTATTAAAATTATAACTTTTACTAAATTTTCTACAATTCCCACAACTGCATGCCAATTGTATTTAAAAAATTGACCTCACACTTAGCACATAGCTAAACCATCCATAAACTAAAACTGAAATAGGATTAAATGAAATTAAAGTTTAGGCTTTTACACAAACTTAGATCAGCACATGGCATAGGCTCTATCTAAACACTCATAATCTTCATCATATCCTAAATTTATTTTGAATTTATCAAAATTAAAAAATATTGGCAATGATAAAAATATAAAAATAGGCTTTATTGATATACATTTATCTTTTACATTTGCATGTCTCGTCAAAGAGTATCGAATCATATACGTAATCAACTAATATATGAATTGATAACTTTTCCTACATTTTAGTATTATTATTTATGCCACTAGTCTATTTATAATTTGGTTCCCAATATTCATAAAAAAATTCTTAATAGCTGTGCAATTATTAAGGAATAGAACAAGATACGAAAGACATACTTGAACCATGCATCACATGGGGTGGATCCGAGATAAGAACAAAAGCTAGCCATAAAACATATTTTGGTGTTTTTCACATTATTCACACATTGACTTATAAAAAAACACCGACTATTAATTTTGTGGTGTATAATTTGTTGATTGCAAAAAACCAATAATATTATTTATAATGGCATGACTCATGCATTACTTGGAGTATTATTCTTTTGCTTTGGCATGAGACGGTCACAGTCCTATTCATATGAAAGTTTTGTTAGTTTGCACAATTTTTGGAATCCCTTTTATTTGACAAATAAAACTATTGTAATCCCTTAGAAATCTAAATGATGTGCTATAGAGATAAACCGAACAAAGATTGTCTGTTCACAGCTATGATAATCTCGAATAGTGTCTTTTTAAGGTTGTGAGATACTTAGAGATGTTGTGACATGTTCAATGTGGCATAGTCTAATCTAAGTTTGATTGGATTGGTTCAATATGATATGATTTTTAGTAAGTTATTGTTTGGTTATTTGAAACTTATCAAAAAGCTTGGTAAAGTAGTGTTTGTCCACGATGAAAAAACACAAGCCATGTCGCTTTGTTCTCATAAAGGAAACATACTCTCGTTGTTACGTCAAGGTCTCACTGGAGATATTGCGTTTTGGGTTTCAAGCCCTCTGGATGATGAGATTGTCTCGTGGACATGCCTCCTCAATGTACAGTCTATACTTTTCTTTATTTCATGTCTACTGAATTTCTAGAAGAACATTCTACAGTATAATTTCACTGATTTGATTTAACTACATGCCGTGTTAGCTGGCGTCAAGAGAACCAGCCTAAATACATACCCCAAACAAATGATAATTCAAAATAGAATTTTTAGTAATTAAATCCTCTCAACTAAAGATAAATCATAAAATAAATCTTCAACTAAAAATCATACGAAATAAATCCTTAATTTTAATTCTGTGGTGACATATGTTAACGGTTTTTAAGTTGAGAGTTTATAATGTTAAAAAAATTGTTTAAAGTTTTTTTCCAATTCAAAAATAGTTAAGGGGTTTTATCACTAAATGTTATTAAATATTTTAAAACCTTTATGATCATTTATGTGCTGTCTTAAATTGATTTATATGCCACTAAAACTTATTTATAAATCTTTATACATTATTTTATCAATTTATAACCATTTTACAAAGCTTCATAAATATTTTAATACTTTTAAAAATGATTAAGAAAGCTTCATAAAACAAATCACTTTATTATTAAACTAATTTGTAAATCTTGTCGTAATAATTCTCAACACTACTTAAAACTTAATATAACTTAAAAACATTAAATTATTTGATATATTTTGTAATATGATATACGAAATTTGTGTCTTACATTGCCATTGTCAAATATCACATAATTAAAAAAATTATGTTATATTAATTCTTAAGTAATGTGGAGGATAATTAATTAATGACGTCAATTTTCCTACTTAGAGTAGGATTTTTTCTTATTTTCATTATTTCTGATTTTCGGATCATATTTTGCACCTATTGCAAAAATAATGCAAGATTATTCTTCTTCTCATTGATTTTGAACCAATATGTTGTACTTTTGTCATATTAAGTAATAAAAAATGTCACTGATCTATTATTTTTGCTTTATGAAGCATTCTTAATCATTTGTAAAAGTACTAAAATATTTATGAAGTTTTATAAAACAGTTATAAACTTGATAAAATAATGTATAAAGATTTATAAATAGTTTTTAACAGCATATAAATCAATTTAAAATAACTCATAAATGATAATAAAGGTTTTAAAATATTTAATAACATTAAGTGATAAAACCCCTCAACTATTTTTGAATTGGAAAAAAATATCTCAACAAAGTTTTTAACATTATAAACCCTCAATTTAAAAATCGTTAACATATGTTACCCCTCCGTCGCGGTATTTAGATGGAGGGTAAGAGACACGTTAACGAAATTAACGTTGAGAGATTATTTTGTAAGATTTTTAATGGAAGGTTTATTTTACGATTCATATTTAGTTGAGGGGACTAATTACTAAAATCCCTTCAAAATACTCAGAATGTTTCCTTGAACTCTTGTGCTTGTTTTTTCAAACATTGGTGTGACGTTGTGATCAAATGTTAATTGTTACAACAGCGTAAAGAAAATTGATAAGTTCAATTTAAAGAATGATACACAAATCAGTAATAGCCTCTGTAATAATTCCCATGGTAATGTTGATTCTGCTGGTCTTCTTCATGTCTAAACATCGACGACAAAGTATCTGTCTCCATAATTATTCCTACAGGTTCCTTGAGATACATCTGGTCATCCAAGTACGTACGCTGTGATATCTGTTATGATCGTCTGTAGATTCGCTGAGTCCTTTTCAGCCCTCAACTTTGGCAAGAAATGCTCTTTTGATAACGGTCACTACTTTTAAGAATTGAGATTTGTATCTCTGATGAAGACCAAACCCTGCCGTCTACACATCAACATATAACATAGTTATGATATAAAGCTCATTTTAAAAAAAAAAAAAAATCAGAACCGGTAATTGCAATCTAAGCTTTCTCGGTACCTGGAGAAATGCGTTTAAGGCTGTTGCAGTAGCTCTGTTGGCTGAGAATTTGTTAAGGAACCGGGCAAACCAAGCCCATCCATGTTCAATCCCATGTAAGTTAGTAGCATTGCCACCGCGAATATCGGTCAGGTGATGGAGTCTGTTTTCCAGCAAGAACGAGGTCAGGTTCAGGCAGGATTAATGGAGAACATATCAAAGGCTAACTTGGTCGAAAAGGGACAAGTCACAGCCACGACAGCTCTCAAAGAGCTTCGGAAGATCAGTAATCTTTTAATGGAAATGCGATGAACTTATTTTTGTTGATTCTTCTTGTTCTACTCTGTGTATATATAAATATACATGCTATTTTTTGTAAAGTAATTTTGGAGCACGTAATAAATAAAATAACGGCTTATCAGCTTCTTCGTAAAATTTTGATATAAATAAAAGAGGTCCAGTATATGAGTTCCTGCGCTTTGAACAATAAAAGGCAAAAAGCATGAAAACTGCAGGCTCACATACATTAAACTTGAAGATTTGAGTGTTTATGGTTACTATTTTCTGTACTTTGACATAAGAGAGATGAGTGGAGAAAGAAAGAAAGAGTCTAATCTATGTTGTGGAAGCCAGGGAGAAGTGAAGTAATGAAGCCAAAAACTATCATCTGAATCTCTTTCACTATTCCCCACCATTGATTCCCTTGGGGAGCTGCATCCACATTTTCATTTGCGTTTGCTCTGTTCCCGTTATCACCTTCATTCTCTTGTTGTCCCTCTGCAACACAAAAATAGAGAGCTGCATAAGTTCTTGCTGGGATGGCTTCAGTTAAGATCATGAAAGAGTGCAAAGTCTAATTATTACCGGGAAGCGCATCTCCTCCGTTGAGTGGCACAGCAGCTGCAGGATCATTATCAGCTCTGGCGGCAGCAGCAGGTGGTTGAGGTCGAGGTGGTGGTACTGCGGCTCTATGCATACCTTGTGATAGCCATCGGACAAACGGTGCAAGGGCTCCAGTTTGGTATCTGCCAAGTTTCCAGCATTTTCAAACCCCTTTTTTATCAGTACTTTAGGGATTAACAGAAGGCTTACAAAAAAAACACAAACAACATTTAATCATGAATGATGCATTTTGAGACTTCGTTGTACATACAACATCATAAGAAGGAAACCAAAACCAATTGACTTACAAGTAAATGATGGTAGCGAAAATCACAAGAACAGCGAGCCTTTGTCTAGATCCATCTTGGTTGAACAGAAAGATGACAGCAGCAAGCTTGAGAATGAGGAAAATGTCAAGCTGAAAGGCGATCTCAAATCTCCGTACAACAACTTGCCTTTGATGTCCAGGCTGTTGCTGCTGCTGCTGCTGACCCTGCCCAACTTGTCCTTGATTCTCTCCCCCATCCCCAGTCTCATTGTTTGCTCTCGTTCTAAAACAAAATATAAAAAAGTTAAAAACTATCAACACCAAACCTATACTTTTCTACATATAAGTCATGTGAGGCAACACAACCAGTAAAACAAATGGTTTTGGATTAAAAGGGGATCAACATGTGCTAGCTAAACCACTTAATTTATGAATATGGAAGGGAAGTAAGTAGTTACGTGGGGATATTGTAAGTGAGAGGGATAAGATAGTTAGAAGGAAGAGCTCCAAATTGATTATGATGATTCACAGGAACCGCATAGATCCCAGCTCCACGGTTCGTTTGTTCGTCGTACTGTCCATGATTCAACCCGGGAACAAGACCCGGTGGATACAATGGATAAGCTCGATCTGGATTCTGGAAAACAAAATTCAAATCATGAGAGTCAATTTTACGATGAATTGTTCTTTTATCATCATCACTCATCCAAATCAAACCAGAATAAAAGTGTGGGATACTACTAAATCAAACGCAAATCAACAATTTGAAGGAAGCAGGTCACAAACCTGAGGCTTGATCCCAGAATCTTCTTCGGGTTTCTTATCAGAAGAAGAAGAAGGTTGCTGTAACGATGAAGAAGGCACCTTCTGTGGTTCTTCCGTCATATTTCTCTCAAAGGATTATACTTATTATACGACGCAGAGAGCTCTTTCTCTATTGAATCCCCCAAATCGAAATCGTTGTTTCTGATAAATTCTCTCGCTCAAGGGGCCGATGAATTGCTCTGCTCTTTCGTCACTTATCCAATAATTTTTTGACACGTCGTCACCAATACTCGTGTCTATTTACTTTGCATTTATGGTAAATTGCACATACACTCCTTGTCTTTTAGCTAATTGTTTTGTGCCGGTTACCAAATTATCAATCCAAACCGGGCTTATTTGGGCCTCATTTGTCATACTTTTTTTTTGAACAAACGACCTATTATGCTAAGTCTTTGTGTTGAAACCAATATGCTCATGATAGTAATGTTAATGATGAGATGATGATTAGCAAAAGATACTAACGTTAGCATCATGGTCATAGATTCATATAGAATCTTATTGCTATACACCCAATAAAACCTTGGTCTAGTCCCTAATTATATGTGAATCTATGATCATAATGGTTATGTTAATGATGGGATGATAATTAGAAAACTATACTAACGTATGCTGATAGTAATATAAGTCAAACGCATAGTTAATTGTTTTAAAACGTTCGTGATTCGTGAACAAGAAAATTATAGAGGATGCATATATTTGAACTTAAGTTTATACACAAATCTTAAAGTTCACAATGATCATTCCACACCATAAAAACTCAAACGTATACTCTACACATCTTACTGAAGAGTATCTTCTTAACCAATCAAATCCACAACATCCAGCTTCACCTCGCTCTAGGAACCATTTCGGTATCAAGATTCATGGTAACCATTCTTAAAGAATCATTACTATGGCTATCTCGATCATTCACCTTCCCGACAACACTCTGTTTCAGCTCCATAACAACTTGACTCATTGTTGGTCTCTTTTCAGAACTCGCAGAGGCACAAGCCAATGCTATTTCCGTGATCTTCCAAGCCGTTCCAGCCTCAAACCTACCTCCTAAACGTTGATCCACAATGCCTCTTATATCTCCACTGGCCAGCATTGAACCAACCTCATCACTTAGATGCACTCTCTGTGTTCTTGAACGTGAGATTGCTGGTTTTCCTGTTATCACTTCAAGAAGAACCACTCCGAAGCTGTATACATCACTCTTCTCGTTCATTTGTCTCGTTGTGTAGTACTCGGGGTCTAAGTAACCGATGGTTCCAGCTACAACGGTGGAGATTTGACTGGTTCCTTCGACAGGGAAGCTCCTAGATAAACCAAAGTCAGCTATCTTGGCTTGAAGCTTCTCGTTGAGTAAGATGTTCGTTGGTTTCACATCTCTGTGAACTATGGGAGGCTTGCAACCGTAATGGAGATACTCTAGGCCTTGTGCTGCTTCTAATGATATCTGTAACCTCTCTTCCCAGCTCAATATTAAAGAACTATTGCCTTTTAAAGAAAGGAAATTAACAAAACAAAACTTAGTTAGTTAGTTAAGACGCTAGAAACTAATTATCCAAAGACTAATTAACCTGACAAGTAGTCTCCTAAGTTTCCATTAGCCATGTACTCATAGATAAGAGACTTGTGGTTATCTTCGTTGCAGTATCCTATAAGAGATGTCAAGTTCGTGTGATGGACTCTCATCAGAAGCTCAACCTGAGAGATTATATATATTAGTTTAACAAACCTAAAAGGATTTAAAGTTTTATAAAGAAGAGAACTGACCTCAGCTCTAAACTCCTTGTAACCTTGCGCTGACTCTTCAGAAAGTACTTTAACAGCGACTTGATCTCCGTTCAAGACACCATGGTATACTTTACCAAAACCACCTTTGCCAAGAACTCTCTCGAAGTTGTTTGTGACATCCACAACTTCTGAGTAGTTAAAGTATCTTTTGGCTATGTCCAGTGGTCCGGTGTTGACACCATTAGGAGAAAGTTTGTTTGAGACTGAATCTCTTCGTGATCTTCTCTTGAAATGACAGAGTAAAGCTAATATGATCAAAAGAACGAGTAGTACTAGGACTGATGCTACTAATGGGATGATGTAACCACTCTTCTTCTTCTTAGTTATTGTTGGTTGACATGAAGATGACTGACAAAGGCCAGGGTTTCCACCATATCTAAAGATTACAACATAGAAACTTCAGTCAGTAGTAATCTTTTAGCAGAGACAAGGCCATCCTTAATATTGAGATGCTTGCCTTAGCGAAAGAGAACCATCTTTTGATTTCTCCAACAGTTTAGCTGGAATGGAACCAGTTAACTTGTTTCCTTCCAAGTTTCTACATATATATTCACACACAAACCCGCATAAACTCACAATCACAGAACACTACTGCTTTTGTAAGTCACACAATTATAGTTTCGAAGACTCACAGTTCAGTCAAGTTTAATAAACTGGAGAGGAAGTCAGGTACTGTTCCCGTTAAGCTATTGTTTGATAAGTCCCTGCAAATGATAGTTCTTCGTGTCACAAGTCTGTAGACAATGGGTTCATAAATGTTTATTACAAAGAGACAAGAATTAGTTACAATTTTTTTATTGATGTTAGGTTGGAGAAAGCTGGATCAATCTCTCCAGTCAATGAACTAGAGGTCAAGTTCCTGTAAAGCACAACATGAAATATAAGAGCAGAGCAAATCACATGACATATAAGAGCAGTGGCAGAGTAGATAAGAACAGAGCATTTTTGTTATTTAAAAAAATTCATACAGAGAAATGAGTCTTGGAGAAGTATTGTTATCACTTTGGAGACATTCAAGACCTTCCCAAGAATACTCCACTGGAACACATGGATCTCCTTGCCAGTTCTTCTTCTTCACTCCATACTTCAACTTAATCTTCACCATGGCATCAACTAAGACAAATAGAAACACAAACACAATATAATAAGTAGAGAAGATGCAATCCTTTTGAGTCCAAACAAGCTTTACCATCTTGTTGATATGTTGGTAACTGAAGAAACTCATTGATCTGATAAATCTCAATAGCATTGATGATCGGTGGAAGAGTCGATAAATCTGTTTTCCGTATGACAATCTCATTCATTGTTCTCCCAACAGGCTTTTCAGTGGAACGTGTGTCTGTAAACAAGTACAACGGTCTGATATTCTTGACAAGTACATCATCATTCACGTATATATCGAACTCTCTCGTCTCGTTGCTTTGTAGCTTCTGAACTTCAGCGAAATGCATGTATACGTAAAACATCGACCTCGGGTCATCCGGTGACCATGTAAACGTCAAAGGGTTGCTTTCGTTTTCTGGTGATATCGCAGTTCTCATGACAATACTCGCTGGTCTGAACCCGTTGTGGTTAGTTTCATCGATGGTGAGGGATGTATTCAGAATCTTCCTGTTAGACTTGTACGGCATCCATATACGATCATAAAAATCATCTTTGTATCTACATATATAATAAGATAACGTTTAGTAGATGAATGTAACATTTAGATAACATTGACATTATTACCTAACTTGAAGGTTGCTTGTTGAGCCGAAGTCCCATCTCCGACCAAGCATAAGAGCTTCATAAGGAGTATCGTACGTGTTGTTCTTCACAAACCTTACTTCCAAGACAGACAGAAACGGAGTTCCTTTGTTTTTATCAACAAGACAGACATTAATATTCTCTGAAGGAGGAGTGTAAATGATCTCTTTGGTAACTATAACCGTTTCATTGACAAGAACAACAGGTTCCCATAGATTGACTCCAAGGTAAAGATCAAACTCTGGTGTTCTGTTTAAACCATCATAGTTCCCGTACATGAAACGTGTTCTGATCAGATACTTGAAACCTTTCCCTTGTTGAGGCTTTATGTTGTAACAGTTTCTCTTACCTTCGGGGAAGCTTCTTACGTTTTGGAACTGTCTTTCGAGAAAAGTTGTCTGAAGGTTAGAAACTATGCTATGACTCGTTCCAGACTCAACAAATCCCAAATCCGAAACGTATTTCATGTTTGTTTTCTCATCAGTGTAGCTTGAATCATCAGCTATCCCACAATCGATACTAATAAAACCTGAACCAAAAAAAATCAACAGAACATGACAAACACAATAAGATTTTAGAAAAGCAAAGAGTTGTATGTAATAACTTACCAGATTGGTCTTGAGCATGAACAAAAACAAGAAAAACACAGCTTATGATTGAAATCCATGAAAGAAGGCTTAAACTTGTCATTATCACCAAATGAATTAGATTTACTTTGGTATAGACTATGCTCTCTCATGCAATATAAAGACTAGCTAAGATCAAAAGGATAGCTAATGCATGTATCAGCCTCAATATACTATAGTCATGTTGGGTATATATACAATTACAATATAAACAAAAGTCAAATAAGCATCTTTGTGAATCATGGCTAGTGCCATGTCAACGCTTTAGTCTGGTTCTTGATCCTTTGAAAGCCATTTTAGGAAAGTGCCCTTCAACCTAATTGAAGGATCACCATTTGATTGATGTTACTTTAGTCCCTTCAAGTTGATACTTGCAAAGTTGACGACTAGTAAACAAATGAAAGATAATCGTCGTAGACTAGACTAGCACACAAATTGCAATAGCAAAATAAATATAAAATCTTACTTGTGAAAGTTGCCATAATCAGGCATGTTCTGGACTTGGTCTTCCTTCTCAAAACAAAACCATGATCATTCATTTATCTTGAAAAAGTATTATGATACAAGTAGAAATTCTAGGAATGAAAATTTAAAATGCTATTGCGCATCAACAATTTGAAAGAGATCATAGATTGGAGAGATACAAACAACCATAATATCCAAAATCTTGCCAATACAAGATCAAAACTGATATGTTGACTCACTCAGCATATTGCTGTTATCTAGCCTCCTGTCGTATCGATCTGAAACAGACCCAAATTATAGTGATATTTCCTCTAATCATCTTTTTGAGCTTCTTCTTCTCAGCATCGCATCACATAGTTTTGCTGCGTCTGCATTATCTTTAACATTATGAACTCTAATGATATTAGCACCTCCTAAAATGCAAGCAGTAACAGAAGCAACAGTTGCAGCATCTCTGTCAGATGCCTCAGGACGCCCACAAATATCTCCCAAGAATCTCTTCCTTGAAGGTCCTACAAGTATAGGAGCATGAGACACTCCTATGCTTCTCTTGGCCATCTCTTCCCGGATTTTAGGAAGATCCGTTATAATATCTAAGTTGTGTTCCACTCTCTTTGAAAACCCAATCCCTGGATCGATCATAACCCTCCAAGCTGGAATCCCAGAGATTTCTGCATCTCTTACTCTCATATATAACTCAGAAGCAACATCCTTGCATACATCACCGTACTGCAGATTCTCTTCCTTCTGCATTGTACATGGATCTCCTCTCATGTGCATAGCCATATAAGGAACACCAGATTCTGCAACAACCTTATGCATATTCGAGTCTAAGGTTCCTGCAGATACATCATTCAGAATGTCAGCTCCGTTGCTTATAGCTTCTGAAGCAACCTCGGAGTCAAAAGTATCCACTGATATGAGCTTCCCTTCCATCTCTGGCAAGCCACGAACAGCTTCTAAAACAGGCAAAAGTCTATCCAACTCTTCTTGAGAAGATATTCTAGTGGCCATTGGTCGTGTAGACTGTGCACCTATATCAATTATATCAGCACCTTCAGAGACCATTGATCTAACACGAGAAACTGCAGAATCTAACGACTGAAACTGTCCACCATCACTAAAGCTATCAGGTGTTAGATTAAGTATACCCATCACATGAGTTCTGCTAGTAAAATCCCAGAGTTTATCTCCTATTGGTAACACTCTTTGTATACCGTCTTCTCCAACCAGTGACTCTCCACCTAGTCTCTCCCACGCTTGGTGAATTCCACCGGGATGTAATGCGAGCGAGTGCCAGTGTGCGACCGTATCATTATCAACAGCTGTTCCAAGCAAATCAACCAAAGGTGCTAATACAAACGACCTTTCCCATAGTCTCTCGTGTGGGATGATGAGTTTCTCAGAAGCTATTCTCATCTTCCCGTAGAACAATATGTCCAAGTCGAGTGGTCTAGGTCCGTAACGTATACCATCTTTACGTCCCATGTCTTTCTCGATTGTTTTGAGAACGGTTAAAAGCTCGTGAGGTGGAAGCTTGGTGACAGCTCTCACTGCAGCGTTGAGGAACCTTGGTTGGTCAGTCACGTGGACTGGAGCTGTTTCGTACAAGCAACTGTGTCTGGTTATACAAATGCCGCCGCGTTTCATTAACCGTAACGCTTCTCTGAAGTTGTTCATCCTGTTTCCGATGTTGCTTCCCAAGGCTATCACAACTTCATGCTCTGTAGAGTCGACTTCGATTCTTGTAGTTGTTGAAAAAGATGAGAAAGCTGAGCTACTTAATGCTGCAACAACAGTTAAAACGATCATCTAACATTACAAAACTGAATCTTTCACTACATTCAACGAAGCCACGAGGTACCTGAAGGTCTGAATAAAGAAGAAAATGGCGAGACAAGTGGAGAGATGAACTTAGACGAGTAAAAACGGTGGAAGGAGACGCGATTCGGGGCCACAGACACAGCTACCGCCGGTGGAGGTTCTGAGAAGCGGCGGAGAAGGAATCTACCGGTGTGGATCAATGTTCCTAATTTTCCCATCATTAACATCCTACACAAGTGACAAGGAGTGAATCAAATGCTTGCACATTACAGACACTGCTAAATTTCAGACAAAGTGTTTGACTTTTGATTGAAAGATAACGAAACAGATCGAAAGATTAAACTTAATCAAGAAGACAGACATAAACAAACAGTTGTTTCTATGCATCTTTAACATTATGCTCGTAAACATATACTAATATTGAGCAACGGAATCGTAACTTTATTCAATTTAAATCGGAAGAAGCAAAAGCTTAATACTTTCCAAGAGTTTATAATAGAATCAAGCAAAACCTGGAAGAGAGTAAAGACTAAAGAGAAGCAATCACTGATTGAGGAAGGAAAGTGAAGATCTTTCTGAAAAGGGTAATGGGAGATTTCTGATATATCTTTTGCTTCGGCGGCGAGTTGTATCAACCGTTCGTGTTTACGTCACTCTCCGTCGTTCTCTTTTAGGTGTGCTGACGAGTGACGACTAACTGAGAGGAAGGCGATGCAAAAGAGAGTATACTCTGTTGTCTGAATCGGATCTGACCGATCCGTACATGGAATTACCACGGTTATAACCGGTTTAGATTTTGAACAAGATTGAATGATAATTAAAACCAGTTCGGTTGTAGTGTTTTTTGTTTTTGTTTTGTCAACCGGTTGTAGTGTTATAATCGAACTCATTAAACTAGTACCTATTGGTTTGGAAATAAATGAAACTATTATTCAAGAAAATGAATTGTAAGCAAACTTAAACTAAATACTTATTGGCTTGGAGAGAAATTGAGAACTATTGCAAATTTGCAAGGAACAAATGGAATTATAATCATGGTTTGGAAACAAATCAACCTGTTGCAAGAAAAAAAAATTGAATTGTAATCAACAACTCTTAATTAAGAAACTTTCATTGGAACTCAAAATTTAGGTGACTCTTAACGGAGTAATATTTTTAACTAAAATCTATTACTTAAATAGTTATTAAAAATTTAAAGGAGTTTTAAGAATAATCATGATCTTAAATTACATGAACGGGCCAGTTTCATATAATATTAGACCATCTGCAATGGCGGATTCTTAGGAAGAATCTTTAGGAAAATATTAATTTTATAATCAATGGGTCCTATAAACAGTTAAAGATTTTATCCTACTATAAACAGTTAAGGATTTTATCCTACAAATCCTTATGTAAGGATTGATCCTTACACTATTCACGGGCTCCACTGTCCACGTGGCGGTCCGTGAGTGGTCAATTTTTCTTTTTTTAAAGAAAAAATCTGAAATATCCTTATATAATCCGAATACCCTTTTTTTTTTCTTAAGGATTTCTCCCAAGGATCCGCAATTGCGGATGCTATTAGGTTCCAGATGTAGATAAATCTAATAACCAAAAATGGATCCAAACTTAACCGAAGTACACATATACACATACATATATAGTATGTCATATGCTATATATATGTTAGTACATATAATGCTTATAATTTTTTTTTCTTCTGGCAATTTTTCAGGAACTCTAAATCTAATATTCACATGAGCTTATTTTATTTTACAAACTTTATACACTAAGTTTGATTAATTAATTAATTAATTAATTAATTGAATACAATCATAAGCATGAATACATATTACTTCATTTGTTTCATTTTAATTTTCATTTTAGTTTTTTTGAAAATAGATTAAAAATATTTAATTTTTATATTTTATAAATAAAATCGTAATTATTTATATACCTAACATAATTCAGTTAATACATAAATAGAAATAAAATTTAAGAATGTAAAAATATTATATAGCATATAAAATTAATACATTTGCATTAAAATTCTAAAATGTATTTATCTTGAAACGAAATTTTACTCTACAACTATGATTAGAATAAAATGAATGAAGTATATATAAGAAAAACAATAAAAGCTATTAAAATATTTAAAGATAATTTTAAGATAACTATCAAAAAATTTATCTGCATCACATAATTTCTCATACTTCGAGTAATTAAAACAAAAGATTTAAAGGTAACACAATGAATTTAAAGATAAGATCAAAAAGAAAAGATAAGAAGATATGTTTGTTCGTTACTTGTAAATTCAGAATTTTTATGACTTCTTACAAAAGAAAAAAAAAACAGGATTTTTATGCAATTCTAAGACGATCGTATAAATATCGGTTTCATGAAGCCTAGTTTTAGAACATAGCGTATCGTGTGCATCGTAAACTCGACAAACGAAAAAGTACTAGATGAAATGGAATCATATAGTGAGAAGTGAAGTGCTCCTAAAGTCCCAAACTCAACGGTCCAAAAGCATCGACATCTATTAACCTCTCGTCTCCCAAGATAGTGCGTTCACCGATATTCTTCCTTTACGAATTTTGTGACTTCCTCCAAATATCTTATCAATCCTTTTTTTTTTTTTGCTAAACTTCAATCCATATTTCATCCATTTTAGATACACCATCAAGAAAAAGTTACATTAATCTTCCACGTTGAAAAAGTAAAATGCCTGGTTGGTAAAAAAGAAGAGTAAAATGCCTCCAAGAGACGTATTTGTGTAGAGACTAGAGACACCAAAAAAGGGAAATGTTCTTAAATAACCTCTAAAAAGGGACATGTTTCTTAATAGACCTATAAATACAGTATTAACTAGACTGGCTCTTGAAAACATTAGTATAATTTATAAACAAACATTCATCTTATATTTTAAAATTATTAGTGTATCATAGTATTTACTATCGTTGACACACACGCAATCGACGTTAACTGAAATATTTATAAAAGTCATATTACAAAAGAAAAAGAATATGCGTACAGAATATTAAAGAAAACACCTGCAACATGAACTAGTTGAAGATTTCAAAAACAGTGCCGCCTTTAAACTCATTAAAAAAACTAGTTGAGAACAAAATAAATTTTAACACAGACAATACGAACCTGGTGCCGTCATTGTCAAGTTTTTTTCTTTTTAATTTCATCTATAGTACATAAGTACTAGAATGCATAAATTCGTAATTTAATGCTAGTCAACGCTTAGACTTTTTAATGCCATAAAAGGAGGATACACATCCATACGCAGTGCACACATGCAAAACTCAAACTCGTTGCTTTACTCAAAAAAAAAAAAAAACGAAGCAAAAACAATGGAGTCTCAGTCTCAGACAAGTCCACCCGAAACCCCAAAACGTTCCCTACTCACCGGAATATTCCACAAACTGAAAACCAACCTTATGTTCCGTTCAAAGCTCGCCGAAATAAACGGTGCAATGGGTGATCTCGGCACTTACATACCAATCGTCCTCGCTTTAACCCTCGCCAAGGACTTGGATTTAGGGACAACACTGATATTCACAGGGATTTACAACGCCATAACCGGAGCGGTTTACGGCGTACCGATGCCGGTTCAACCGATGAAGTCCATCGCAGCCGTGGCGATTTCATCAACCGCTGAGGAGTTCGGTATACCGGAGATCATGGCCGCCGGAATATGCACCGGAGGGATATTGTTTGTGTTGGGAGTCTCTGGTTTGATGCAGTTTGTGTTTAATATCATTCCTCTATCGGTTGTTAGAGGGATACAGCTGTCACAAGGGTTAGCCTTTGCTATGTCTGCGGTTAAGTATATTAGGAAAGAACAAAACTTTTCAAAGTCGAAAAGTGGTGGTGACAGGGCGTGGTTAGGGCTTGATGGTTTGGTCTTGGCTTTGGTTTGTGTTCTTTTTATAATTCTGGTGAATGGAGATGGGGAACAAGAAGAGGAGGAGGAGGAGGAAGAGAGAAATGGTTCAAGAAGAAGGGTTTCGATAAGGAAGGTTATATCTAATGTACCATCTGCTCTGTTGATTTTCTTGTTGGGTGTTGTTTTGGCTTTTATAAGGAAGCCAAGTATTATGCATGATATTAAGTTTGGACCGACTAAGATGAAGTTGGTGAAAATGAACAAGAAAGCATGGAAAAACGGTTTTTTGAAAGGGACGGTTCCGCAGTTACCTCTCTCTGTTCTCAACTCTGTTGTGGCTGTGTGTAAGCTTTCTTATGACTTATTCCCCGAGAAAAAGGTTTCTGCCACGTCGGTTTCGATGACTGTTGGGTTGATGAATATGGTTGGGTGTTGGTTTGGGGCAATGCCAACTTGTCATGGAGCCGGTGGGTTAGCAGGGCAGTACAAGTTTGGTGGGAGGAGTGGTGGGTGTGTTGCACTCTTGGGAGTAGCTAAACTGGTGTTGGGATTGGTGTTGGGAAGTTCATTAGTTAGTATAATGGACAAGTTTCCGGTTGGTTTGCTTGGAGCTTTGTTGCTATTTGCTGGTATAGAGCTTGCAATGGCTGCTAGGGATATGAACACAAAGGGTGATGCGTTTGTGATGCTTGTTTGTACATCTGTATCTTTAGGCTCAAATGCTGCGATTGGATTTGTTGTTGGGATTGTTCTGTATGTAGTTCTTTGGATGAGGAACTATGGGAGAGTCAAGCCGACCAACCTTCCTGTTCAAGTAGATCAACATCCTTGAAGGGTCTTTGATCTTCTTATATGCTTTCAAATGTGATTTGTTTTATACCTTAAAATAAAAAAAAATTGAACTGAATCGTGCTACTTCGTGTAATAATTTGTTTGATTTATTTTTATTTTTTATATATTGTACATCAGTGTTTACCAACCTTTGTGATAATAAAAATATATAATTGTGAGAGATGGACCAAATAGCTCTGGACTATATGTGGATTAATAGCTCTGGAATATCATATATAGGATGTACCTGGTGAGCAAGAAATGAAAGAGAATATATAATGTATTCTTTACCATTTCTAATTTTTTTTTTTACCATTTATAAAAAAATAATTTTTTATTCATTTTCATTCTTTGTATTTTAGAAGAAAATAGAATAAATTTATTCCTCACCAAAATTGATTAGGAATAATTTTTATCTTCATTCTTATAATTTTATTTATTTACAATTTTTCTTTACTCATTTCTAATATTTATATGATGGTCACCAGTTAGATGCCGGCCACATAATTTTCAAAAGTTTCAGTGGTCTAGTGGTTTGTTGTCTTGGGACACAAGCGATGAAGATAATATACAATATATGAGATCTTTGTAATATTATTATTATTGTTATTTTTGTAATACACAGTAATAGTTAAAAAAAATAGGTTTGTTGAGTAAAAATGAATAGTACTGTTTGTATAATTAGTTTTTAAAAAAAAAATAATAATAATAATTCGAAGAAATAATAGTTATATATGTTATATGATACATGCATTATACCTGTTACCTACTAATCTTTCTAAAAAATATCAATCTAAAAGAAAATCTTTTTTTGTATCTAAGAATCAAGAATCTCACAATCAGTTCTTTGGAAATAAACATTCATGGTTAGAAGATCATAACCAACATTATAATGCTGCTGAGCCATGGCACCAATAACACTCATATCATCTAAAGCGTTCATACTCATAGCCAAGCAAAAGCTCTCTCCATTGTCACTTTTAACAAACAAACTCTCATAGCCTAACGTCAGCTCAGCGCCGCCGGCGAAATGAAACGTGAGGACGGGAAACCCTAAAAGATCAAGTTTCATCTTCCCTTCATAGCAAGGTTTTGTGTATTGATCCCAATCTTTAACGCGTGTGAGAACATCTCCTAGAAGGAAATCTATTTCTTCAAAGAGTGTGTCGTAAGCTTCTCTAGCTAGAATCGTTGATGAGCAACCCGTGTCGATGACGGTACCTCCTTGTGAGCCATATCTCTCGAAAACTTCAGGTTTGATATCGAGAAGTTTCTGACCTAAGGAGATTGCTTGGAGGTCAAGGTAGTAACGGTCTTGGAATATATGTAAAGGGGTTGGATCTCCTTCGGTTCTGGCGCCGTCTCCGAGGATGAGAATGTTGTGAGGGTTGGTATGATCGGTTAAGCTGCCGAAGCAGTAAGAAAACTTAGAGCCGAAGTTTCGGGTAACTATGGAGAACTTACCTGGCCCTAAACCTAGCACGCCGCTGTATTGAGTAAAACCGGAGTTTTCTTGTCCGCAGCCTATAACAATGTTTTGTTTAGAGACCAAACCGTCGTCTGATGTTTGAAACGTGAGTTTTTCCTCAGCTAAAGTACCTATAGTCCTTGAATTGTCTCGGTACTGGAGGTAATATTGGCAAGTTTTGGTTCTTTCGTCATGGGAGATTCGGGGCATGGCGTGTGGTGCGGGTTCGCATGAAGCGTCACGGTAAGTTGAAGATATTGAAGGGCGGTAAAATGGGATTGTTTGAGGGTAACATTTGCAAGGAAGGCATTGGATCCAAGTCAAGTCACTACCTGTGTCTATGAGTAGAAGTTGAGGGACTGGTGGGTTACCAATAGAGATGTTTGCGAGGAATGCTGCTGGACGTGTGATAGGAGTCACATGCGAGATGATATTTACTGTGGTCCACGTGTTGTCTAGACGAGAAGTGGGAGGTGGCGTGGATTGCAAGTAACCAGTGTTTTCCTTTGGTGATTTTTGGGGTTTGTTTGATTTTGAGTGTATTAGCCTTGAAGCAAGTCGGGGATGCGATATGCATCGGTTTGAGCACGTGAGAAAGATTAGAGAGGTAAGGATGGCGGTTCCTAATGTTAGAGAGACAGCCATTTTGGTGAGCAAGAAAGTGTTTTTCTACTTACATCGTTTTTAATGAGTCGAGAAAGACAATGTGATGCATCTAGGTTAAAGGCTAAATAGCTATATATATATATATATACACACGAAAACCATAAAACTCTAACCTAATAAAGATAATTATCTAAATAACTAATAAAATAAATAATAAATATTTGAAAATATTCCAATATTTATCTACATCACAATGCCATTGAGCCCTTGACTCTTTGTCTTTGTAGGAAATTCGTTTCGTATGGAGGGATTATTTTCTTGCATGATTCTTTGTATTTTATCAATAGTAAGCTGAACACACAATCTGATCATATTTTAGGCAAAAAGATTACGCACGTTCATGTGTCTCACGTGTTACTAACAAGAAGTAGAGCAGGAACAAAAAGAGTATATAGCACGATCATAGATTTTACTTTATTGTTTTTTCTATATATTTAAAGAATATTATAATCAGCAGTCCTGGTGAGATTGATTGTGAAAACTCTTTTTTACTTCTTAACTAATTTACTATATAATTAAGAAGATTTTTTGTTGTTAAATTCTCTTTGTTTCCCTGTAGTCATCTCAAATTAAGAAGATTAGTTGCAGATTATTTTTTTGTGTTTGGTTTTGCACAAAAGACCACATTCTCGTAACCCATTAAAAGCGTACTCTGCACAGCCATCAGCATAGCTTTGCCTTCAGCTTCCGTTACAGAAATTACGTCCCTCAGAACAATAGAACCCCAATATTTAGAACACCCATGATGGTAACACACAATCCAATCAACCACAACACGACCAGTGAGGACATTATAAGAGGCATCTACATTGCATTTAATTATACATTCCTACGGATGGACGTGTCCAAATACTTGAGTCATTGGATGATAGGACAAACCACCTTCTGTAATAGTTTCATTAGTAAGATCACTTTCTGTTGCACTGATCCAGTCATTAACATCCCAGATCCTCCATAATAACCTTTAATATTTTTCAATAATAAAATGTTTATCAAGTCCAAATTCTTTTATAAAAGTGGACAATCATGAATATAAGGTTGGTCTCATAAATGGAGCATCGTTGTTGACTATTAATTTGATTTTTTTGAAACTCATTTTAGTTACGTTTGGGCTTCAAATACAGAAATGGGAATTTGGTTTGAAAAGGAATTGAGATTTCAACTCTTTTAAAAAGCTCCAATAATCAGATTTCTAATACGATATTATACTGTATACACCTTTTCCAAGTAAAAAAACTGTATATATGGGCATCCATTAAGTTTAGTCAAAATCCACTTACGGTAGTAGAGGTAAATGCATTGTTTACACACAGAAATTCTCATTCAGCAAAGTATAATATTTGTCGTACATATATTAACTGTCACATATTGTATTTCCTGTACAAATCCATCAATAAAGCTCGCATATTGTATTCCTTAACCATCGAATGATATTTATTTAGCTTAAATATAAAAAGACTGATTTTTTGCCGGTTCGGTTCCATATGAACCAAACTCAAACACGATTATTTTATCTGAATCCTATTGTATCTTCTACGAATAAGAACACTATATAAAATTCCACTATATCGACATTAGTATCAGCAATATCCATGATCATGTAGTCAAAGATGATACTGGGAGAAGATACAGTACACTAAAGATGTAGATCAAAAGTTTATAATAAAACATAGTTAAAAATCGTATAATTGTATTGGAACTTGAAGCAAAATTTGTATAACTATGAGTGTGAATATAAATATATCCCATCAATAGTATATACTTGTATTTTCGTAAAGCGTAATAGTGTTTGTACTTTAGTTCATATCAAATCAAAGAATCGTATTGGACATCAAATTATTTCAATCAAGTATAGTGAATATATAAGGAGGTTTAATTAGTTAACCGGTACAATTGTAGGTTTATATTATACGATTGTATTTAGTGTTAACCGGTACAAAACCATTGTTAATTTTTACGATTCCATTTATCAAATGTTTGCATTTAGAATGAGGTTATGTGTGTGTGAGAGTGACTGAGTGAGGCTATAACATTACGATAAACTATGATATTTTGGGGATGTACTAATGACTAAAACATGAACTACAATAAAGAAGTCGTGAAATATTCTTTGTGAATAAATCTTAAGTTTAGTGTATACCCAATGAAACTGCCAAAACGAAGATAATGGAGAGAACGAGTGAAGAAGATGTTTTGATCATATTTTTCCCAATTACTAAATGATGAATTCAGTTGATTGACTGAGAGATTATTGACATGGAATTTATAGCATTATGAGACGACCAATATCGGGAATAAAATATTTTTTTTTATTATATATTTACAGATATATTTGACTGTGATTTTATGATATGCAATCCTCTGATCTGTATTTTTTTAATTATGATTTAGATTTTTTCTAATTTTAATTCTTTTAGCATGTTTTTAAAATGCATAATATATGCCAAATTTAAAATTAATAAAGAGAAAATAAAGTGATAGTAAAATATTAATTAATTTGACACGTGCCAAGATATAATTATATATAGTTATATATAATTTGCAATGTATTACAATCCAGTGAATTAAAGTTAGTCCACATTATCAAATTCTTATGAGGTGTTGGTCTTCATCAATATGATATAAGATATTGTGGTATTTTCCAAACTTGGCTATCTCATAATTTTATAAATCTCCTCTTCATTGTGCTATAAATATTCTTTTAGCTGTCTCCCAAATTTTCAAACCTATCAACTAATATCATCTACTAACTTTCAACACTAAGAGGAAAGCATTTTTTTTAATTAAAAACAGTTATGGCCAAGCCAACTTCTTTGTTTGTTTTCCCCATCATGTTCCGTGTGATATTATCTTTAGGTATACATTTACTTACCTTTAAATTTCACTCAAATAATATTTAATTGTTTGTTTACTCTATTTTTAGGTTTGCCGTTGGAATATATTATAAATCTTCTAATTTAAATGTATTAATTTCTTATAAGTACACTACCACTTTTTTAATGTGTATACAATTTTGGTTTTGTTTGATATAGTTGAATATAATATGGGATGCATGACAGTTATTGGCACGTGTCGTTATATTCCCGATTGTAGTTCGGCGTGCAAGGTTAGATTTGGAGAGAAGGCTTTTGGTTACTGTGACCGCGATGGTGATTATGGAAGATGTCTCTGCTATTTTCCTTGTCCGAGTGAAAAGAATAATTAATGTATGATTTGTCATAACTTTATATTTTTAAATGCTAAAATATGTATAAGTAAAAACACAAAATCCAAAACTATGTAAAAGATGTGACGATGTTTTGTAATTTTTTGAAAAATATATATATCTAATAATTAATATTCGAGAAGACTAACTGAATGATGATAACTATTCAAAAGACATGTAAATAACACGATTTACACCAAAACAGTTATATACTAAATGGACTTTGAACAAAGAAAAACAATCTTATACTAAATGGATTCGGCTTATTATATATTCTAGGTTTTAACTAGGCTTTTTTATTAGGGGTATTCGGTTAGGTTTTAATTTGGGCTTCAATTGAAAGCCCATATTTCCTTTTGGTGAGTTTACGCATGGTTGAGTAATCTGTGAAATAAAAGTTAGAGGTCGGATTTGGAAACTATCACTCTGTCTCTCAGCAGGATGCTTGACGATGCTTCATATGTTTTACAGTTTTATTCATTGTAATATATTAGTTGTCCGTAAATCGTAGAATCAATAATGCTTTTCGAAAAGGAGGTAGACAATGTTTTTGATAGAACCAGGTGATGGAGATGGATAATAGAGTACCTAACAGTTTGTTCATTACCAAAGAAATTAATTAATTTACATACTTACTAACTTACTGTGTTTTAATTTCTTGTCAACATGACAACAATCTAGATGGATACGGGATACCAGAAGACAAGCTCCCACTGTTTTCTATACACTCACGGATCAAAACTGAGGTCATGTTTTAGTCAAGAACACAAATGTTTGTTAAATTTTTACGTGAGTTAAGCGCTATGAAATTTTATTCGGTGGTTGTAAATCTCGAAATTAAGTATTACTATATACTTTAACAAAATACAATAAAAGAGAAAATTCAACAAAAATAGTACTGCGTGGAAAACGAACGTGAAGGAGAAAGACAGTGACAGATATAATATTTGGTGATGGAAGAGGGACACATGCATTGATGTTTCTTCACGTAAAGAAAGGCCTTCGAGTTGGCATTTCCTTGCCTCACGAATCTTTGTCTACCTCGTGCTTCTTTTTAATTCTCTTGTCCTTTTATTTTATTTTTTATAATAATTGTATATTATTAAAACTATTTGTTTCTTTATAAGAAATGGTATTTCAAAGTGCCACAACACTCGCTACTCTGTCTCTTCTCCTCTTTGACTTTTGTCACGCTTGTCTCTATCGTCTTAACTCAACCATGGTTAACAAAGTTATTGCAAAACCCTAAGCCAGGCTAAGTATTTGCTTCTCGATACTATTTCGTCTTATAATTAACAAATAAGTACAATTAAAAGACTTGTTTGATTACTTAAATGATTAATCCACATCAAGATTCCCCATGTATCACTCGTTTTGTTGTTCGTTTTTCTCTTTATAATCTTCTGTTGGGATTGTGAAATGTGAACATGATGTGTGTGGTTCAAGAGTCAACTTCGGACGAAGGGTTGTCACTATTAATTTTGAATAATGTTAAACCCCTCATTTTTCATTTTCTTCAGACATGTAATTAATGCTCATATATCATTCATTATATATACACATATTTTTTATGTTACAAAAAAAAAATATATATATATACACATATTTTTTATTAAGGGTTTTTATATATACAATGTTCATACCTCTTGATTATAAGGCTTTTGGTTCCATTTATATAAATTAAACTCTAGTCACGACATGATACTGAATTTCAAATATCTTGATTTCATGTATAAACACACAGTCCATTCTCAGTTAAAACTCTTACTCATGTTCATATTTCATGCATATGGCCAGGCCGCACCGCACCGCACAGAGATTAAGGTTCGGCTGATTAGATCTTTAAGATCGCTTGTATCATGTAATATAGAAGGGTGCAGAAGAACAATAAATACTTTAATTTAAAGGAAAGTAGGACATTAATTTTCAAAAGTGTTTGAACTTTTACAACAAAATGAAAATATAGTACTTTAATATTTTTTTTTTATTGAACAAACATAGAGTACTTTGATTATTGTAGATCCATTTAATTAGAAGAGGCGATAAGGAATTTTCGTTTTGTATACATTGGAATCTGAAAAGAAAATATCTAACAAAAATTTCAGATATAAATGAAAACAGGGGGATCCAACAAAACTTTGTTGTTGAAGAATGAAGACTATGTGTTTTGTCAAACATAGGATCCGACCATTGTTTGTTGTGCATGTGCCTAGAGACAACATGACCCTCGCATTATAGTGAACCCAAGAAACGATTGTGAAAAACCCAAAATCACACAGTTTTACACAATGAAGAACACAGAAACCTATTGACTAATAAGCCATGCAACCAACGCTTAGTTAAGTAAGATTCTATGTGCGATTTGTATGTAAAACGAATTGTGGCAGAAAAGAGAAACGAATGCGAGCTTGAAAATAATATCTTATATTAATTATCTCTTTTGTACACTAGTTACAAGTTGAATGTATATTATACAATACAAGTATCAACTATAATCAGCAACCTAACTATTCAACAATATTAAACCAAGGTTAGCCGGATCTTGCAATCCAATATCAAAAAGAAAAAGCAATACAAAATAATTTCAGTCTCTAGGTTGTCTACCAAGCTAGAGACTGAAATTATTTTGTAAATAAATATATCAAGAAAAGATGAATCTATTTATTTGAAAATAGATTAACTTTATATTTCGAAAATTACATAATCCAAAATAATGGAACCATAATAAATAATTATTTTTTAAGAACTTCAAGCTTGAAGCTTTGACTTAACACACTCAGCCAAGCTTATACTACAACGCTCTCGCTCCCTTGCTCAGTCAGAATCGTCAATCTCCGAGCTGTCTTCAAGAACTCACTGCAAGAGACCAACCAAAACACAAAACATATTATTTTACTAATTACCACAGATTAGGACAAAACACCCAAAAAGGTCTGCTTCTTGTTATACCTGAAAGGTTCGTTTCCCGGGTATTTGATAGCTCCTGACGCATCCCTATAGAGAACAGAACTCAACATCTCAGACTTTTGAATACCAAACATGTCAGAGAGTTTCATACTCAACTCTTCGTACGAGCCAAGAACCGACAGGTCTAAGGTTCGACCCACATCGTCTGACTCCATAAACACTTTACAGTGCCCCGTCTCCAAACCCAACGCTTCACGAGCTTTATTAGAGCAAGGTGATCCTTCCTCTGACGAAGAACCAGCAACACAGTTCTGGTTCGATCCGCCTGATGAAATCTGCGTCTTCTCTACACTATCCGTTGACCCTTTCTGCTCCTCGGGTAGTATGAGCTTTCCGAACAACACAATGTGTGACTTTTTAGATTCTGTATCACTACATGGCGATGTTCTTCCCATAGTCAAAAAACAGAATCCTTTCTCGTTTTTACTATCGATGTTTCGAAACCCTAGCGGTGGAGGAACAGAGAGGTTTGATAAAGGAGGAGGTGGTGGTCTGTTCAAGTAGTAATGGTGGAGATCAGAAGATGTTGATAGCCCGTAGTATTGATGAGCATTATGCCTGGCTCCCTGTAAACCCACGGGAACATTATCCAGAACAGAGCTTAACGGGCTTGATCTGATATGAGGATTACTTGGGAATGAAGGTACTGGGATCCGAGTGTTGTAATCCGGATGCTGAGGAACCCTCATCTTTTTCCTCGGTGGCGAAAACGTAGGGATCGGTATCGGGTGTCCGTTGGATACCAACTCCACTAACCACGGGTTAACCCGCTTCACGTTTTGCAGTAGGTCCGGCTCATCCCACGCCACCTGAAACACACAAACTTCTTCTAAGTTTCTCGGTCTTCCAACTTAAAATCAATTGACCGGATTTTAACCGGATCGGCCAAAGTCCTTTATATTTAAAATAGGTCTATGTGGCAAATTAGAACTAAACAAAAACATTTAAAAAAATAGCTCTATGCGTTTAAAAAATCAGTCTAGGCTTCAGCTTCAGCTAATCCTCTATAAAACGCATAATTACCGCCTAGCTATTTCTTGAACATTTTAATTAGTGTTTATCCTTTTAACTTCCAAGGTGAGACTTCAACACTTCTAAACTCAGAAAGAGAGATTATAAAGTAAAGAACAAAAGGAGGTATAACTTGTGGAAGGGGTTACCTGTAGAAGACGCCAAGGAGAGTTAGGCCAACGGATAGGATCAGAGACACTAACAGCCGAAACAGTCCCCATAAACCAACTAATTCTCGAAGAATCTTCCGTCTCAAAGGCCATCTTAAACCTCATACCTGAGCACCAAGGAATCCGCATCGCAGCCCTAGCATCCAACGCCTTGACACAAAACTCAGACGAGCTAGCCCTAGGATAGTACACAACTTCAAAAGCTCTTCCACTAATAGCAAACGTAGCAGCTTCTAAAACAGACTCAGCAGCCACTTTTCCTTTCCTATCCGCAAGAGAAGAGCTACTTCTCCTCAAACCATTACTCTCATCTTCTCTCAAAAGAGAAGAGTAGCCACAGCTTCCACCAATAGGATTCCAACCCGCTGAAAACTCCGGTCCGTTACCGATCCCTCCTCTCTTAGCCCTCCTGATCCCTACACAGAGATCTCCATTCTCAGCTCTCATGAACACTATCGAGTCTCCAGCCACAAGCTTCTTCTGGTTCACGAAGTTACTCCAACCGGTGGTCAGAAGATGACGCCGAGGCGTCCCTCTATAGATATGTCTAAACTTCCACACATCTCCATGAACATCTTTCGCAAGAATAGTCTGAACAGGTGGCTCAGCGTTGTAGTCCAGCCTCGGGAATATCGTCTCTGCGCAGTAACGAGGAACAGAGAACCCTCCACCGTTGTTAGCATCAGATTGAGTCAAAGTCTTTGCAAACGACGGCGTTTTCTCACTATTACTCTCCAAACCGTTACTATCTTGGCCATCTCCGTATTCATGATCAGCAACGTCGTTGTCTTTTAGAGGAATCAGACTCAGCTTGGCGAAAACCTCATCAGATTCAACGTCAGCCATGTACTTGATGGCTAAGACACGACATAGAACCATGGGAGGGATAGGGAGGTTCTTGAAATCGACATGATCGTAAGCGTTTTCGGCGTGTCCTTGAGGGAAGTAGAAGACTTTTGAGTTCATAGGTGGCATACGAACCATACCACCAGCACATGCATGCCATAGTTGTGGATCTAAGCCTTTCTCTGATCCACTTCTCATCGGATTCATAACGTTAATCATGTTTTTTTCTTTCTGAACAGAGTAGACAACAAAAAAGACAAAAGCAATTAGTTGAAGTTCAATGCTTTTTTTTTTCTTTCTTTCTTGAAGTACTTTAAAACATGTTATAAAGCTTAAGTCCTTTGTATCAGTCAACTCTGTACCTAACAAACGAGATTTTCTAGGAAAAAAAAAAGATAGAAAAAGTTTCCTGAAAATCCGACAAAAGGGTCAGTTCAGATAAGAAGAAGATTTCAAGTCACCAATCTAATTTTAGTAATTTTATCAGCTAGATTCCCATAAGAAGATAAGGCAAAAAAAAAAAAAAAAAACAGATCGGTCTGAGAACTGAAACAGTAAACTTAGAAAGTAGAGAGAAGAAACATAGACAAGCTTTAATCAAATCAAACTCACATCGAATTAAATTGGACAATATAATCAAAGATAAATTCGATTAAACAGAGAAAGATTCAGACAGAAGTAAAAAATTTATGTACAAACCTTGAACTGTGGTAGATCTGAAGCTACTACCTGAAGATTCTCTCAAAGAAAAACCTTAAGTTTCTTGAGAATCTGAAGATTCTGCAGCTAGTTTTCTGCTTCAGATTCGGATAAGAGTTCACTTTTGTTTTTGTTTTGTTGCACAAAGAGAAATGAAAAGGGGGTTCTTGTATATGAAGGAAAGAGTTTTTGCTTTCTGGTAAACTTCAAAACAAAAAATAATATCATATCTTTTTTTCTCTATCTTTCATTAACTCATTCACATGTCTTTTTTATTAGTCTTGTTTTTTCCCTAATTAATCCAAGATTAGAATAAAAAAGTAATATTTTGAATAATAAATTTAAGTCCAAATAAAAGTACAATTTGGTAAGTCAAACCCTTGATTCCGGGCATAAAAATCGACAATACGGACTGTGAAAAAAAAAATTAATATCGATATACGAGTTAAGAGTTAAATCACGCACGTGACGGATCCGCACGTGTCGTCGGTGCTTCCGACATATCTCCTTGAAATCTGATTAGAAGCATCTAATTCAGTAACTATTTTCAGCTTAAAACAGATTTATTTTCTAACTCCACCCATTAATCGTTCTTTGAATAAACTAATTCATACTAGTACACAGTTTGATAATCCCAATATCATTTATTTTTCTATCTAATTGTTTACTAAACACGATAGTTTGTTGATGATATCCATGTGAGCAATTTGCTGTTGCTGCCCATGTTTTATTTAAAACTAGTCTGTTCAAATTAAACGATATAGAAAAGCCTCATTGGCTCCATTTATGTGATCTTTTACGAGACTGTCTACTATAAAGTATGTATTCGCCGTATATACGGTATATATTATATATTGCATGGTCATAAACCATGAGAAACATATAAGAGCAGTATTATAACATTCATGTCATATAATACGCTTTTAATATAGAAGAAAGAAATCATTAAGAATAATTTTCATACAATAGCATACTATATGTCCAACTAAGACATAGATTATCAATACTACGATCATAGCAAGTCTCCTTAAATTTCCGAACTTGTCTTTGTATTTTCTTGTCGTAAGAGATAGCTTTCATATTAATACGATGGGTTTTTCATCTAGGCCATACGTGAACAAAAACTCATATCCAATTATCTACACATATATTAACCAAATAGTTGAACATTTACTGTATTTATGAAATATTAGTATATACTAAATCAATTCACCAAAATCTAGGGATTTTCCGTTCAGGATTGAAAAGGTATCTATTCTAACAGAGATTTTCTTATTGCACTTTTGTAGACATACCTTTTTGTGTCAGCTTTTTGCAGCAGTGCTTATGAATTGAATTGATCGTGTATAAAATAACTTTAAAAGTAAAACTGCTTTATCTACGAAGGCTGTGTCGTCTTTTAGTAATTGTTATATATGAATTTCGAAAAATATTCCAGTTCAAATTTCAAATAATTCTAAAATAGTAACATGAACTGGAATTGATATATAACAAATTATTAATGAAAACATTTTTGACCAGAGAACATATATAGCTCGTGCGACTAACCATGGTTAAGCTTGAAGTGTGTCTGTGTATATAATGTAGGTCAACACCAGCACTATCCTTGTCAATAGTTATTGTTTACCTGTGTCATCATTTCTGTTAATCCAGTAACCTTTACATGTCACAAGCGCAATTTCGTCATCAGAAATAAACCCACTGGATCTGATCTGAATGTTCTTATTCGTTCAGATTTGGTTATCAGTTATCAAATTTGTATGTAAATACTCTTCATGTAATAACTAGTCCTAGAGAGTCATGGTATCCCTAACATTAAGCATTAACCAAGGGATTTCACAGTCAATGTATCAACCCAACCTTCACCCCCATAATTATGTGTAAGCTTTACTAATATAAAAGAGTGTTCAAGAAATTTAAATATGATGAACCAATAAGTTAAATTAAAACACAAAAGGGTCATTACATTTTTGAATGAAGCAACCTATACATTTAGTGAACACGTAGTTCATCGTATGTCCATTCATTTTTATCATTTTCTTCAAGTTAGAAAATATAAAGTGTGACATCGCGCGCACAATAACGAGGATTTATTTGAAAAGAGAGATGGAAGCTAAAACAACAAAGAGGGTAAGTGTAAAGCGACCCTTTTAAGGAGGAGACATATAAAGACATCAAAATGGATCAAGACACAAACAGTCGTTATAGACATTGACTCTCTCTTGTCGTTTTCTTTCTCGACTATTTGCATCCCATACACACCAATTTTCCCCTAATTCACTAACTACCCTAAATCACCCTTATCTCTCCTCCCCTCATCACAACTTTTTTCCTCTATCCTTATGGCAAATCCCTAATTTTCTACTTTCTCTCCTTACGTCTTCATAAAATATTTGGTTGACATGATTTATCCATTAAAAAAAAAAACAAAAAAAAAATCAGTAAGGCTAAATATATAGACCCGTTTACTAAAGGCTTTTCTTAGTTTGACTTGCACAAGCCCAATTGAGCTGGGCCTGGTTAGATAAACATGCCAAGTCAAATTTCCCAACCAATCAATGTATTTGTATGATGTGAGAAAGTAATACAACTCTTTTCTTTCTCTTCTCTTGACTGAAAAGATTGTTATAAGATTTGTCACTACAGAGAGAAGAGCTCTGCTCAACTTCTTAAGCTAAAACTAACAACTGTTACAAGTCTGAGAAACCAAAAAGGTAAAATACAAACCACCTGCAAAATAGACTTTCCTCCATTTGCGTAACCATCTTAACTGGAACCAAAAACCAATGATGTACATTATCTATAAGTACAAAGTCACAAAACCTTTTTTGATCTCCTGAAGTTATAATTTATATTGTTTCAATGGTGAGGATGACGGCGTTTGGCTCGGCGATATCCAGTGCTTGGTTCTTGTCTATGACTGTGTCTCTTTTTCCCCTTAGGACTGTTTGACCAGTAAACAAAAGACGCAAATTAGTAACTACTTTCTGATGCAAAGGATTGAAACTTCTATAGTAAATTTACAGAATATTTTTCAAAGATGTTCATAACTTACTTGGAGACTGCAGAAAGAAATTTGATGATGAATATGAGAGGGAAACCAATCAAAGCTGTCGCCTGTTGAAGTACACCAGAAAGGGCTTTAGAAAGTTATATAGACTTAGTAAAATTTGTGTAATGCATTTTGCAAATGGTAGAGAACACATACCCCAACCCAAGCTAAATCCATGGTAGCAACCGGTTTGGTAATCTCATTATTCTTCAGCATTTCTTGAGCCTAATACAATGAGCTTATTAAACTCTCTTACTCTAATTTCTGAATTCAAAAAGCTAAAAGGAACACATGGTCTATACATACCTGCTGATGGTAGATTTTGGTGGACTCAACCAACTTCTTTAAGCCATTCCTTACGTTCTCGGTATATGGCTCTAAGGACACTTGTACTCTCTCCAAGTGTGGTTTTGCTATATCCATAATTTGGCTGGTGTATGGGGCTGTATGTGTTCTGAGTACCTAACAAAAAATATATATTGGTCCCATAATGTTTTAATGTAATGTCGAAGAAAAGCAGTTGAATGAATAAAGGTGGAAACATATTAACCTCAAGATAGTAGCGTGACACATCGTAGCCTTGGATGATATGTGGTGTGAAAGCCTGCTTAGACATAGATAACACCTCAATGGACTTCTCTGTTAAATAGCGAACCTTTGGTTCTAAATAAATGGTTAATGTTACACAAGCTTCTTTGATGCTTGGAATCCATTTCTGTAAAACCCAAGAGGAAGAATCTTTCAGATAATGAAGTGAATGAAAAGCTAAATAAGTTTGCAGTAAGAAAAAAAACTCACTGAGGTCATGGTTTCAATGTGAGGCTCTGACCATTTCTGGACTTGTTTGATTTTCAAGGAAACCTGAAAAAAAAAAGAAAAGTTAAAGAAGTAAAGACTTCTCATCTAAGTGAAACTCAAGACATTCAGGGTTGATATGAAGCGAAGCAAACCTGTTGAAGAGTGATATGAAGATTTGGGCTAAGATGTTGGTGCCATAGAGTCAATAGATATGCCTGCAACCATGACAAAATGAGCTTTAGAGGGATGATCACTAAGATTGTGCCATTTTATGTGCCTCAAAGCTTTTTGATTAACCTGAGTTTTGTTCGAGTTAAAACCAAGCTTAGATGAGAACCACTTCATATCGATCTGAAAAAAATAAGGAAGAGAAAAAGATCATTAAGCTCTTGAATTATGTACAAAAAAAATCTCTCAAGGCATCAGATCTTACGTTTTCAACCTTTGAGCTAAGCTCTTCAACTTTCTTTTCCACTTCAAGCCTTTTCTTACGTTGCAACTCCACTTCCCGTTTAAGTCTCAATACCTGTCAATGCAGAAGCATCAAACAAAAGTTTAGAATAAAGGTAATCCATAGAGAGTTCAAACAACAAAACCAACCTGCTTCTCAAGTTCATAAACCTTTTCTTCTGCTTCACCCGCGTGCTTCACCGGATTCTCAGACTAAACAAACCATTTAACAACAAACCAAAAGTAAAATAACTTTCTTATACATCTATTACTAGCAAATGAAATCAAATCCAGAGATGACTGAAGATCTCACTTGAGAAAAATCTATGTCACTCTCAAACAAGTATGATTTCTCCCGGATATATAACTCCAATACTCGAATCTTTTCCTCTTTCCTATGCAGCTCTTCATTCTTTTCCTTGATGATTGATTCTTTTCACACACACACACACATAAACCAAAAAGACTCTAAAACTGTTAACAACCAAAGCAACAGATACAAACTATAAATGCAGCTAAGCATATAAACAAAAAAAAACGTTACAAGTCATTTCCAAATACATAACGGAAGCTAAAGATTATAATGAAAACAAACAAAGAGACATAATGAAACCGTTACTCATTTCTCCAGAGAACTTCCTAACCAATGCAACAAATCAAAAAGAAACGTTTTTTTTTCACATTCCCTACAGATCTTCAGAAGCAAAATTCATCTAAACCATATAGAAAATCTCAAAAAGGCTAAACCTTAGTTCATAACGTAGACAATGAAGCTAGAAAGCTGCAAACTTTCGCGAGAAAATCTAGAAATACGAAAAGGGTCAAAAGAGATTGTTAGACATACGGAGAGAAGAGACGGTGGATTTGAGTTCCTCCACCGAACAGTGTTCATGTGCACCATTATTACAGCCATTGTTGTCTGAAGAGGAAGAAGAAGCGGTTTCTCGGGGAAGGGAGAGCGTAAGGAGGAAGAGAAACAAAAGTAGCTTAGAAAACGCCATTATTGAAGACTGCAAACAGAGGACTTAACAGCACAGTGTCGGAGAAAGAAAGAGAGAGAGAGAGCGTGATTCGCGAGAGAGACGGAGAAAGCGTGTACCAAGTCAAACTTTAAGTATAAAGTGGTCTTCCTATCTTTTCTGTAATTACATATTTGTCCATTTACTTTTTTCATGTTTAAAAGATGTTATTTGTAAATATGT